GCCCCGGTACTGGCGGGGCCCCGCCCCTCACCGCGGGCGTTCATGGCACCGAGCGGCGCGAGCTCCGGGAACGGAAAGCGCCGCTTAACGGCGGAAGCGGCTCTTATAGCCCCGGCACCGGAAGCAGGAAGAGGGGCCCAGACGGGGCGGGAGAGGGTTGGGGGGGGCGGGAGGCGGACGGCGCCCCGCGAGGGACAAGATTGCTGCCGTTGCGGCGGGAGGCCTGGGCGGGGGCTCCGTCCCCTCACGCCCCGTTTCCAGAACGTTCGGCGGCGCCGCCCGGCGGTCTCCCCCAGCCCTAAAGAGCCGCAGCGCCCGCCATCCCGGCAGCCCGGTGCCTTCAGGGCCCCCACACCTCAGGCGCCATTGGGGCATCGCCATCCCGCCGTGTCACTACACCGGGGCGGCGGGCGGTGTGGAGGCCGGGCAGCCGGGAGCACGGGTTGGCACCGACGTTGCCCGGTGTCGGCCGTCCCCGGGCCCTGGGGAGCGTCAGTCGAGCCTTCCTGTTGGGAAGCCTTCCTGTTGCTGCGCCCAGGGGAGTCTCTGGGCATGGCGGACGCTAATTGATTTACAGCACTCGGTGTTTATTGACAGTATTAGTAATGTACCGTTCCGGGACACGGTGAGGCCTTAAGAGCCTTGAGGAAAGGACCTTGAGGAAAAAAAAATTGCTTGAGTGGCATATTCGTTGTGGGGAGGGATGGAGATCTGCCATCGCGGTGCTGGAGCATTCAGAGAATGGGTTGGGTTGGAAGGGAACTTAAAGCCCACCCAGTGCCACCCCCTGCCCTGGGCAGGGACACCTCCCACCAGAGCAGGTTGCTCAAAGCCCCCTCCAACCTGGTCTTGAACCCTTCCAGGGATGGGGCAGCCACAGCTTCTCTGGGCAACCTGGGCCAGCATCCCACCACTCTCATCGTAAAGAAGTTTTTCTTAATATCTAATCTAAATCTCCTCTTTTTTTCAGTTTAAAACCGTTCTTCCTCATTGTATCATTCATGTTGAAATTTCCACTGTGGATCACTGATGCATCTCTCAGCCAAGGGAGACAGGAGCACAGCAGCAGTACTAACCACCAGGCAGCTTTCTCCTGGGCCACCAGAAGCCGAGATGCCCATAGGGTTACCAGGAATGGTGGATGGCCAGTTGGGTGGCCACCACTCCTAACACCCTGTGGAATGGCACTGTAGGATGGGGCCAAGAGAGCTGCTGCCAGCTCAACACCTCACTTTATTTCTACATCAACATCATGACCCGTGGCAACCCACTCTGGATTCCTCTATGGAGCAACCGACAACCCACATGCCTGACTGCGTGTACGTACCTTTTAGCACTAAGGATAGAGGGCATGGTCTGGCAACAGCTCAGGTAGCCCCCGCCACGTGGCGGTGCTCTAAGAAGTAGGTTAGAACAAATGACGCAAGGAACCCCTTATATTTTGAAAAGACCATATAAACTTGACCCAAAACCACTTGTTTCAGTGCTTTATCTCATCATCTCACACGAGGGCTTGTGTTCCATCACTGGAAATGATGTTTTCTGGGTATGAAATGATGTTTTCTGTGGTCTTTACCTGCAGCAAAATGAAAAGAAATGAAAAATGACCTATTGTGGAAAAAAAAAAAAAGTGAGTTGAATTCACCTGGGCTGCATTCAGCTCCAGAAAGCTTGCAGCAGGCTGGGGATATGCTGTTATGTTTGTTCCCCACTGTCAGGACCCTGGGGTGGCCGGGGCAAGGGCAGGAGCCGTGTCTGGGGTGGGATCTATGTCTGTCCTGTGTGTTCTGTGCATCTCTGCCCAGTGGGACCTCCCCATTGGGAGAGGAAGTGCAGGGTAGCTCAGTGTTGGTGCTGGGGCATATACTGAGTGCTCTTTTGTTTCCCAGGTTCTGCCAAGGCTTAAATAAGGTGGTTCATTTGGAAGCTGCATAAATCAGTAGTCAAATACTTACAGTGCTGTTTCACTCGATTTTTTGAAGCACTGAAAATAAAGAAACAATCTTGTTATCATTTGTATTTCCTGGTCATAGGGATATTTTTACTAATATCTTGTAAGTGCATAATATCCTCCACCTTAAGATATCTAATATTTGATTTATCTGCTGGTAATCCTTAAGCAGAGGTAGTGCATAGAAGTTGTCTAACAGCGGAAAGCAGCACTACAAAGCAGCATAGAAAAGGCTAAAAATCCCAGGTCATTGCAGGAAAACAATATATATTTTTTTTGCCTAAGAAACTAGAGCTTTCCATACCTTAAAAATCTTATCTTTTCGAGCCACAATTCCAAAAAGCACCGTGACTGTAACCACCACAACAGCAGCAATAACAGCCTCCTTGGGAAAAACAGGGGCTTTATCTGTCAAAAGGGAGAGGAGGTTGAATATGTGACCGATCGGTACAGTCATATAAAGCAGAACATTTCACAGAACTGCAGAAAGACATATTTCTTTTCCCATTATTGTCACTGTTGCTCTCTCTGCTCTCCGCAGACTGACTGTGTGGATTAATCCTCTGGAAAGGAAGGGGCCAAGCCTGTATTTTAGCAGACTGAAGGAAGAATTGGAGCGTCAGTCCCTAAAAAAGAAGATCCCCAAGGCACTGCTATGTGTGGGAATAAGGGTGTCCAGCTGTATCACTGACACAGGTAACGATGCTTTCCTCCCTGAGACTGCACTCTCAGAAAAAAATGTGAGGAGCCCGCAGAGTGGGTGGGAAATGGGTGCCTGGTGGGTCACCTCACTTTGTGTCACCTGCCCGAGACCTGAGCATCCAGCCCCTTCAAGGCCTCCACCTCCCTATTGTCCACTTGTAGTCACTTGCTGTTGTAGTCATTTCTGGAGGACAGCTACTCTCTCTTGCCTTAAGCAGTTCTTTTGGTCGGAGTAAGGAGCTTCAAGTAAGACCTAAGGTGCTTTAAACCACACGTGGATGTGCCCTGTCAGCGTGGGACGTGAGACCGTGGGATGAGCCCGCCTCGGGTCACACTCGCCAAATGCCTTTGAATAACAGGTAGAGCAGGAAAGGCCCTTCCTGGTGCTGTGGTCCCAGGCACGGGTGCAAGGAGAGCTCCTTGCTGTTGCTGTGCCCTCTGAAATTAAAGCGGGGAATTTACCACATTCCACTTGCGCTTCTTAATACAAATGGATTGCTATAATTATAACAGAGAATGGGGAGTTATTTGTAAGGCTTATTGTTTGGCAGCAGCCTTGTTACCTTCAACGATCAGGTGGAAATCCTTTCTCCCCTCTCCCAGAGCAGATTTCACCACGCAGGTGTAGGTCCCGTTGTCAGACTTCTGTACTTTTGTGATAGAGAGCTGAGTGACCTCGCTGGTCTGGTACAGCTGGTAACGGCCTTGCTCTAGGGTCAGGGAGACATTGTTCTTTGACCAAGCTGTTTGGCCTTGAGGGTTGGATTTGGCATTGCAGGACATAGTGACATCTTTCTCTTCTTCAATGTGGAGGGACTCTTCTCCAGTCAGCTGGGGAGGAACTGTTCACAGTAATGCAGTTCAACAGCTCGTTAATAACGCTGCTCACTGCTCGCCATTTAACACAAAGTAAGTTCCCTTTTACACATCCCTCGTGCACCACGTTCAGTGGTGTAACACATCACTGCTGTGCAGCCTTTAACCATCCCTGGAAACCAACAGGGCCATGTGTGGCAGAGACAGTCACTCCCGTGACTCCTCTGCCCTGGCTTGGATCCTAGGTGGAGGCAGGGACGTATCCACAACATCTTACTCACGGGCCCACCCACTCCCCATAAAAGAGGCATTAGATCAGGCCATAAGCACCCCCGTGGAGAGGGAGTGGCTTATCATGCGAGTTATCTCCTCCTAAATGCATTTTTTCTTGGTGAAGGCAGTGTACGAGGGTGCAAAACACCCCACCCTCAGCTCGTGCCCGGACACCCAGGTGCTCAGCCCGTGATTTCCTCCCACCCCAGCCATTCCACATGGACACCCAAACACCACAACTCACACTGGACATCCAGGGTCACGGACACCCGGATGGACTTGTCCCGTGCCAGCCTGCACGTGAAGGCGACTCCGTTGTCGGACTCAGTGACTGGGGACACGCAGATGTGACTGATGTTCACTCTGTTCCCATCTTTCAGATCCACTTGCCCATCTCCTCGGTACCAGAGCAGCTCCTCATCCTGGCTGCTGTTCTGCACCAGGCAGGAGAGGGAGACGGAAGGGCCGGTCATTGTAGTCAGGGAGAAGTCAGCAGCGTGGTTATTTATAGACAGTTCCAAACCTGCACGAGAAGAAGGATGAGGGCACTAAGCATCCCAAGCTGTACCCTTCCCACAAAAGCTGCCCAGATAGCTTCTCCAGGCCCTCCACCTTGGAGGAGGGACTGAGAGCGTCAGGCTTCCGTCTAGCAGCTGGTTTTAGGTGGGACTTTAGTTTTTTAGACAAGAAGTTTTCTTCATCACAAATCTCCCTCCACAGTTATTTAAAATCAAAGTCTGGCTTTTGCAAATGACTGCAAGAACACCAGAGCCCTGACCCGGAATAACAAAATGGCTGAAAACCAGCAGTGACCGTGGAAAACACAGAGCAAAAAGATCATCCCCATCCCACTAATCTTGCTCACCCTCCTGCTGCAAATCACCCTTGCAGAATATCTGTGCCCTCCGGTGTTGTGCTCGTGGTTTCATACGCTGGTTTTTGGTTGGAGCTGAATGCACTTAAGAGTATAAAGTAGTTAATCAGCCCCTCAGCTGTACCCCCTCAGCCTGAGCCCAGCTGTTGAAGAGTTGCGGTTTGTCTAATGTACAAACCTCAGGGCATATTAAACAAAGAACCAGTGTGGGAAATAAATATTTGGTAATGGGCTGAAACTCGCTACTGTAGCCTGTGTCATAGATTAATGAAGTAAAAATATAGCTCAGAATATCAAGGCAGTATAGTCCTGTGAATAGAAAAAAATCTGAAGCTCCCTGTCTCTTCCCTGCTGCTTCCAGGTGGCCAGAGCTACCATAATTTTCACTTCTTGGAGCAGGTTTGAAAACGGTGGCCTCTGTTGTTCCTCTGTGGGAAAACATCTTCATCCTAATAATGTTGGAAAACGCTGAAGCTTCCCCATTCCCTTCCCTCCTCCTCTCCCGTTTTCAGACAGTCCCTTGGGATGACCTCCAGAACATCTGGAAGCTGGGATTCTGGTGGGATGCTGGTGTGGCACATCACCCCGGGCACTGCCAAACCCCGGACAGTTTCACATGTGGGCATGATGGACAAAGCCACCACAGATTGTTTTTTTCTGTCACTTACCTGTGGCCACACACGCCAAAAGGCAAACAGCAAGGACAGGCACTTGGCAGGGCACGGCGAGGCTGCGTCTCGGTGCCATCTCGGAGGAGCCCAGCTGGGGTCTGTTGGAGAGAGGGTCACAGCGTTGCTGCCTCGGCTCGGGGCTCACAGGGGGTTAATTACTTGCTGCCATCAGCCACCCTGGGGAGAGCCCTTACAGACACGGACAGGGGCGCCAGGGAATAAACTAAGTGGGTTTGTGGCAGGATCTTTTCCAGTTCAGAGCAGAATCGAGGGGTTTTACGTCTCTAATCTCTGCTGCAGGAGCTTGTTGTCTCCCATCTGTCAGGGGAACCCGTCTCTGGGTCATATAACACCCTACTTACCTTGGGAAGAGTCTCCGGAGAGGCCGTTTCTGCTAAGAAATGTACAGCTCTTTCCCTTCCTTATTTATAAGGTCTGAATTTTAATATTTTATGGTGGCTCGGTAAGAAGCGAGTCCATAAAATGGGTTCAAGGCCTCGTTCAATTCCTGGATTTCTGAGCTCCCAGAATACTGAAGAAAAGTATTTGCTGGGCTTTCTGTTTTATGAGACTTGCTGAGGCAATGAGTAACTAATGAGAAAGTTCCTGCACCAGCCATAAAGACCTTCAGCCAAAAATAATACCTTTTCCCTCTCAGCCTTCTGGGTGTTCCACAACACTGTTTCAAGCCGTAGGAAGTTTATCCTAAATTATCCTAGACCAGGAATAGACCCCGATTTGCCCCTTCCTGCCCAAAGCTCTGTCGCCGTGTCCTCCTTTGACTGAAAAATGAGAAAATTGACCGATTCAGACTTTGAACTGCACGTTGGCAGAGGAGAGAGCGGAGACACTGCTCACTGGCGTGTGTCCCCAGGTTTCTCAGCCCCGGGGCACCCCCTGATGTAGAGTGAGAGTCCCCCAACTGCTGGGACATCTGGGTGCGTGGGCTGCTTGTCTGCTAAAGCCCTTGGCTACGGGGAAAACAGTGTCTGAAATTGCCTGTTTATACCTCAACAGGGAGATGGTGATGTGGTTGCAAAGGATGGGATCCTCACAACCTCCGGAACTTGTTCTCGCCACCGTCAGTGTCCCTGCAGACAAAGGTCAGGAACTGGCTCCACAGAGCCATAAAGTGCATTTCACAAGCAGGAGGAGCCTGGGACATGTATGTCCTCAGCATTTCTGTCACCCACGGACGTGGTGGCCTCCCTCAGCAGCACGGAGGTGGGCAGCCAGGGCTCCTGCTCCGTGGCTGGCTGTGCACAGAGAGCACCAGAGCACACAGCATTATTTATTTGTGGGGCTATTGCAAACATGGGTCACCTTTGAGTGTTTCTTAATATAACTTTTTTCTGTGTTCATTGGTTTACCCTTAAAACTAACTGGGAATCATTTTCAGTTAAAAAAGTATATGTGTACCTAAGTCCCTTAAGGAGACAGCACTCAGCCTGCCTTCTAAAAAATGCTGGTTTAGAAATTACTGTCCAGCCTTAAACTCACTTTTAACCTTCCAACTCAGTTTAAGAAATTTTTATAAATAAATTGAACTTCTTCCACCATTTTTAGGAAGTTTTATGTCCTGTCCTTGTAACATTCGACTAAATCTTGGCTACGGTCCGGCACAAATTTCAATCAAAAGAGTAAAGTGATCTTTGTGGTTTGGTGTTAAGCTGGGTTGAAACGGAGGAGGGAGGGGGAAGGAACGGGCTGGGAAATGGCTCACAGGCTCCTGCAAGACGTGAGCCAAAGGCAGGAGAGCACAGGGAGGTCTGGGCTCCCTCTGGTCACTGCAGTGATACTCCAGGAGAAGGAGGAGGTGTTTAGAGTAAGGGAGGATGTAAAGAATGAAAGCATGGAGTTTTGGGGGTATTTTTTTTAGTCTAGAAATGACAGTAAGAGAAAAACCTGTCAAATAACGGCTGTTCTGTGGCGGGTTTGTCGTGGTGTGAGGCACAGCAGCACGTGGGACCTGGGAAGAATTCTGTCCCAGGTTTGTGGCAGGTCTGTGTGACAGCAGCGAGGTGAGCTCAGGTTCATCAGGTTTACGTTTTTTAAATGAAGGCAGTGGCAGCATCCTGTTTTGTAATGGGCTTTGAGATCTGCTGAAGGAAGAGAGACGAGAAAAGCAAGGTGTTACTTGGCCACGGGCACCGAAAGGCAGCATTTTCAAACTGATAAGAATGACTTTCGCAATGACTTTTTAACACTTTTCTTTTTATACAGGGCGTAATTATCTTGTGGGTGTCTAATTACTGAGGTCTAGGGTTTTGTGGGTTGCGTTATCCACCTTTCCATTACGTTTAGGACGGACGTAAACCTCGTGTTCCAGAATGTAAAGCAGCCAGGAATGACTCAGACTGGGAGGAACCTCTTCAGTGGGGCAGATACTGCATAACTCTCCACGGCAAAGGATCTAGCCCTCTCCTTGGAGGAGTTTGGATCTGGCACTGGCAAGGCTGGATAGACAAACCATGGGCTGGAGCCAGAGCAATCCACTGCACCGGTTCCTGCTTGTCATCCTGGTGGCAACAGTGGACAGACAGACCCAGAATAAGACCCTCTCTGTTTAACGTGAGACTGAACAGCCCCCAAAGGAATTAATTAATAAACGCCAGTCTATTCCTGGGTGTAATCCAAGACTTAGAAACCCGAGAAGAGAAGATTTAGAACATGATAGAGATTGGGCAGAAGTTTCTTTTCCACTGGGTCTCCGACTCCAAACTTCACAGCAGTTTGGGTGCCACGTGGTGATCCTCAGTGCCTACAGGGACAGGGGGCACAGGGTGTAATCCCCTGCGTGTTGACTGTCAGATGAGAATTCAATTTATATTCAGCAGCCTTGTGAGGGCTGAAGGTTCTCTGGGAGTCCAGGGCACAGCAGGATCTGCACAGACGTGTGGAACCCGGGGATGGTATCTATGGGTTGGTTTGTGGGGCAAAACAATGCCTGTAACGTGGCTGTAATCCTGCTCCAGAAAACATGTTTCTGCAACAGCGCCCGAGGCTCTGCTCAGAGCCTGCTCCAACCTTCCTACTCCTTGTGGTTCCCTGCTCCTAATCCCTTTTTAATATGCGGTGCTGTGTATTTTGCAACACTCCCATTGTTGGAGAATGACTGTAACACCCAAACCCACTGCCTCCACGAGCCAGATATCAGGGCTGGAAAGCGAGGCTGCCAGGGAATGTGACTTGAGTTTCCTCAGTGCTCCTGTTCCCTCCCACAAAATCTATTTTTTCCCCAAGTGTTAAGGTTATGGAGATGTGATGTGCCCTGATTTCTGAGCCTCCTGGCCCATAGCCAAATATCTTCCACTGATAAGATGGACAGATCTCAAGTATTTTTTTCATCATTTCGTTAATAATTCTATTTTCTGATGGTCCTTCTATAAAAGGTCCCACACCCATTGAATTCCAGAGGAATGAGAGATGATTTTTATCCTTTGGAAGGAATAAGAATAGCAAAAAGAGCACTAAATCAGTGAATATTTTGATGATTTTAAAATAAATTGCTTTCATTCAAATGAAAAGTAGGAATTACTGAAGAAACAGACCCTAAGATAAATAAAGCACAAGGGAAGTCCTCAGGAAGGTGAGGCTCCAGCACAAGTGTTGGACGTGGATGCCATCTACTGGATAACCACCCACGGGAGCTGCCAGCCCTGCAGGGGAGTGTCTGGGGGAGGAATTCACCTTCTGGGAGCCCTGGAAGCAGGATGAGATCCCTGTGATCACCAGGGCAGAAGCTCAGAGACAGTCAAGCCTGGGGAAAGCTACAGCAATGGACATGGGCTCATGGAGAGGTCTGCCAAAACCTTTGGGCTCAGAGGAGGATGCATTTCTGAGATGGTTCTTTTTCATCTGCGTTGTGGGAAGTCCCCCGTTGAGTCTGTGCTCCTGGTGATGCAACAGGGAACCACATCTCGGGCTTTTACTGATATTGCTGTCCTCATATTTCTCTTTCAGAAGTGTGAGAAAATTAGGCTTAGAGAACCTCATCTCTCTAAAATCTCTCTAGAGTCATCACTTTAAACAATCACTCCTGGGTCTTTTAAAGTCTCCCTCTTAGAAGCAAGTGCAAGAAACGGAACCACGTTCCAGGAGGGCAAGTCTAACCTTTAATTAAGACCATTGAGGCACTTGCTAATGTTTCCTGTGCGGTGAAGAGAGCAGCCAGGGACTGTAGAAACTCTTAGGTCTGTGCATGAAAGCCCCACCAAATTGCAGCCGTGCGGTACCACGCGCTGGTTACCAGCAGTCAGCACAGGTCCCCCTCTTTCCGAGCTGCTCTAAGAAATATAGTCCCAAATAAAAGGAAACGTGAAAAGAACTTGGCATTAAATTAGCAATATGGGTCCCCTGCAGGAGATAAAAGTGACTTATCTGTATGAAATTCCACTTAAATGTTGTCCCTTGTAGTTTCCCATCTAGGGAGTCCTGGTTAGCAGCTTTCAGCTTTCACACCTAGCAGCGCCCAGGGGAATTAGTGCTGTTAATCTTTGCATCATCCACTCGTTTTCTACCTGATGGAACCAATTTTCAAGGTGGTCTCCTGCCTCAGGCACGGGGTCGGACTGTATCGTAGCAGAGATTATCTGCCAGGTTCCCATGACTCAGTTCTTTTTCTGGGCAGAAAACCTGCCTTTGTCACTGGTGGGCTGGACTTCAAGGGGGGTTTGTTTCCTCTGGGAAGCAGAAATGACTGAGGATGGTGCTAAGTTGGGTGCCTGTTTCTTGCCTGATTTAGATGCTCTCTGATGGCCAGTACAGGACATTCCCCAGCAGTATTCCCAGATCTGCTTCTCTTTCAAGTCTGTATTCTGAGCAGGCTGCTCTCCAGCCTGGACCTTGGATATTTTTGTCTACCTAGGAACTTTCATCACCAGTGGGATTTCTTGGCAGTGCTCTGCTGGAAAATCGAGTGCTGATTTGATCTTGTGAAGTGCTGCCAAACGGTATTAGCAGTTTTAACTTCCCTGCTGTGGCGTCATCTCTCGCTCCTTGTGCGAGGAATCTGCAGAGATGGAGCTGCTCCATCTTCCCAGTTCACGGGGAAACATTTGCTGCCCAATCCTCAGGAGGAAACCTCACTCCTCCTCTGTGGCTACAACCACTGCAGAGAGGTTCGTAAGGCAGAAGCCACAGCCCCTGAAGAACCACCTTCTCGAGTGCTGGACTGAAGCAGGAGCACAGGGCAGAGCTGAGGAGGTGGCTTTTTGCAGGTTGGTCTCTAATCTTCCCTCTCGTTGACCCAGGGATTGGGAAGACAGAGCTCTCTTAGGTTGTCCCAAGGAAATGAGAAGGTTTTGTTGTTACTGGCTGCTGAGAAAAGGAGTGGATGAGTCATCGGTCTTCTGCCACATGCTGCTTTTACAATTGGTTTGTTGAAATTCCAGACAACTGGGCTTTTATCAGCTAAAAAGGGAAATGAGCTCAGTTACTCTGTGTAAATCCAGAGCAATTTATCTGTAGACTGAGGGCTTAAACCTATATTACGGTGATCACTTCCGAGACAGCCAAATTCCCTCTTGAAATTCCTTCTCCCTTTCGGTTTAAGAACGTCCTGATGACCAAGGTCTTTTGTCTTTTCCACTTTAATTAGATCTGGGGCATCTTTTTGATGGATAATCCCTGTTCCCTGCTTGTCCCTCTCCTAATGACTGCGCAGCGCAGATGAGCCCCAAGAAAAAGAAGCCAATTTACGCTCCTCTTCCTTGGGGCCCTTTAGATGTTGTACCACGCTTGGCTTAAACAAAGCTTTGCATCATCTGATCTCTCACACAGAGGCTCCTGGAATGCAGAGAGAAGAAAGAGTCATACCACTGATGGTTCCCCTGAAAATGAGTTTTATGTGCTCGACTCGGAGCACGTGTCTCCAACAGGAAATGCCGGAGCTGGGAAGCAGATGTCTACATGAGATACTACTGAAAAGTTAAACAGGAATCCACACGACCTGCTGTCAGAGATGGCCACTCTCAACGTTTTATGGACTGCAATGCATTTTGCAGAGTAAGCTGTTTGGCTTGTTGTTCCTTCTCATCTCACCCGCCTCAGAGAAGGAATTAGCAAAGATCTGAATGGAGGAAACCCTGAAGTACTATTTATATATCTTCTCAGACACCCAGTTCTGCAGCAGCTCACCATGCAGCAGCGGGCAGTACAAAATGTCTAAGGGTGTTAAAATGTCTTTAATCACCTGGAGGTCTGGTCTGAGCTGGTAGTGCAGTTGGGACAGGCCACGTGGGCTTCCCTCCAGGAAGACAGGCACCAGCAGTGGCACTGTGTCCCCCATGGACTGCAACTTGTCACCATGCCAAGGCAAGAGGCCACCCCGCTTCTTCCACATCCAGCCACGTTTGTGTTTAGGCTTTATTATATTATATTGTTATTCTTCTCTTCTCTCTTCTCTTCTCTTCGCTTCTCTTCTCTTCTCTTCGCTTCTCTTCTCTTCTCTTCGCTTCTCTTCTCTTCTCTTCGCTTCTCTTCTCTTCTCTTCGCTTCTCTTCTCTTCTCTTCGCTTCTCTTCTCTTCTCTTCGCTTCTCTTCTCTTCTCTTCGCTTCTCTTCTCTTCTCTTCGCTTCTCTTCTCTTCTCTTCGCTTCTCTTCTCTTCTCTTCGCTTCTCTTCTCTTCTCTTCTCTTCTTCTTGGCTTTCTCAGCATGAGAAGTGCATGGACCTCTTGGAGCAAGTCCAGAGGAGGCCAGGAAGATGATGAGAGGGCTGGAGCACCTCTCCTATGAAGACAGGCTGAGAGAGCTGAGGTTGTTCAGCCTGGAGAAGAGAAGGCTCTGGGGAGGCCTTATAGCCCCTTCCAGTATCTGAAGGGTGTTACAGGAAAGCTGGAGAGGGACTTTTTATGTAGGGGTAGGATGAGGGGTAATGGATTCAAATTGGACAAATAGATTTAGATTAGATATTAGGAAGAAATTCTTTAATCTGAGGGTGGTGAGACACTGGCCCTGGTTGCCCAGGGAAGCTGTAGATGCCCCATCCCTGGAGATGTTGAAGGCCAGGTTGGATGGGGCTTTGAGCAACCTGGTCTGGTGGGAGGTGTCCCTGCCCAGGGCAGGGGGACTGGAACTCCATGACCCTTAACGTCTCTCCCAACTTAATCCATTCTGTGAGTCTATGATTTATCATTTGGAGGGGATTCTGCTGCAACAGCGTGTTGTGACACCCCTCCGAGGTATGAGGAGCATCGCCGTGCGCTGGTCTTACCCCCCTGTATGCAATAACTCGGTTTGGGGTTATTCCTCGTTATTTATTGCACCGGTGAGAGCCGTGGACGGGCTCGGCGGGCCCTGCGGGGCCGTCGGAAGGGCAGGCACCGGGCGGGGGAAGCCGAAGGCCGCTTTCTCCCGAGGGAGGAATTAAAATCGCCTCTTCGGGAAGGGGAGCGCAGCCGGTTGTCGCCGCCTCCTCCCTCCCCGCCGCCCCGGGGGCAGCGCGGGCGGCAGCCGGCAGGGGGCGCCGCAGTGCTCCCAGCGTCCCCACCCCTTCCTCGTGACGCGGCGCTCCCTGCCTTCTCTCATTGGTCCTTCGCCGCCTCGCCCCAGAGGCTCCCCTCTCCTGCCCGTCGCTCATTGGCGAGCGGCGAAAGAAGCGCCCTCCCCTGGGCGGGGCCAGCGGCCGCCGCCTCCTCCCGCTGCCCGGCGGTTCGGCGGAGCGGCCAGGCCGGGCGTGCGGCGGGGCCATGGCGAGCGCGGCGCGGGGGCCCGGCCGGCGGCGGCTCCTCTTCCTCCCGCTCCTTTGCGCGTTGCTGCTGCCGCTGGGCCCGGCCCGCGCTGCCCACATCAAGAAAGCGGAGGCGGCGGCGGCTCCCGGCGAGGCGCTGCGGTACCTGCACTCGGCCGAGCTGGGCGAGGCGCTGCGGGCTCTGGCGGCCGCGGCCCCCCCGGGCCTGGCGCGGCTCTTCAGCATCGGCCGGTCGGTGGAGGGGCGGCCGCTGTGGGTGCTGCGCCTGACGGCGGGGCTGGGACCGGAGCCGGAGCGGGAGGGCGAAGGGCCCGACAGCGGCGGGGAGGCCCTTCCCGGGCGGCCGCAGGTGAAGCTGGTGGGGAACATGCACGGGGACGAGCCGCTGGCCCGGCCGCTGCTGCTCCGCCTGGCCCAGGAGCTGGTGCGGGGCTGGGCCGGCGGCGAGGAGCGCATCGGCCGCCTGCTCAACACCACCGACATCTACCTGCTGCCCAGCCTCAACCCCGACGGCTTCGAACGCGCCCGGGAGGGCGATTGCGGCGGCGGGGCGGCGGGCGGCCGGGAGAACAGCCACGGCCGCGACCTCAACCGCAGCTTCCCCGACCAGTTCGGGGTCGCCGAGCCCGACCTGGAGCCCGTCCCCGAGGTGCAAGCCCTCATCGCATGGATGCGCCGCAACAAGTGAGTGCGGCCGGTACCCGGCTCCGGGGGAGAGGGGGGACCCTCGGCTCCACTCTCGGGGGGCTTCTCACTTTCAGCCCTTCCCAGCAGGGCCTGGGGGGAAAACGCCATTTCCCACCAAAGAATGGTTTGGGTTGGAAGGGACCTTAAAGCCCACCCAGTGCCCCATGGGCAGGGACACCTCCCACCAGAGCAGGTTGCTCAAAGCACCATCCAACCTGGCCTTGAACCCCTCCAGGGATGGGGCAGCCACAGCTTCTCTGAGCAACCTGGGCCAGTGTCTCACCACCCTCACCATAAAGAATTTTTTTCAAATATCTAATCTAAATCTCCCCTCTTTCAGTTTAAAACCATTACCCCTCCTCCTGTTGCTCCACTCCCCGATAAGGAGCCCCTTCCCAGCTTTCCAGTTTCTCCCCAACCTGCTGGGTTGGCCTGTTTTCACAGCTGGGGGCAATCCTGCACCCAGTGACTGGGTTAACCCTTGTGCTGGCCAGTGGTTTGGTGGCCACAGTTTGTTGGGCACCTGCTGAGGAGCCACACTAGCCCCGCTGGGTACAGCCCATGCCCTGCAGTCACCCGGGCAGTCCATGGTCATCTGCGTGTCTCCCCTCTCCAGGAACCCACAGCTGGAAGCTTCTCGTCTGCTTCGTCTTAGTTCTTACTTTTGGGACTGATAGTGCTTTCACCACGCGCTATGGGATGCTTAAAATATTTAGGGTTAAGTGTTGAACTTCAGTGTACAGACACAGTAATAGAAGAGTTGTGTTGAGTGGGGTTTCCCCCATCTTTGTGTTTCATGGAAAATTCCCTGGATTTAGCAATAACTCTGTGTGCAGCAGCGTTTCCAAAGGCAGCCCTTGCTCCTGCAGCCCCCTTCCCCATCTGTCCTCCCGTGGAAGCATGAAGGACTGGGCCTTCAGCGCCCATGGTGACCTGTTGGGCTCTCACCTTCTAAGGGGGTGAGTGGTGGGATGCTGCTGTGCCCGGATTTGGGGAGACGGTGCCTGGGAAGCCCAGCTCTGGTCTGGGGCCCTGGGCAGCTCCGGGGAGCGCAGTGGCCAGGCTGGATGTTGTCTCTTCATTTGCTTTGTGTTCTTTAGAGAGCTGAGGAAAGTCCAAAACCACTAAGGTCAGAGCAACCAACCGTGTGAAGTTGTGCAGAGAAAGCCAAAATCCAAAGTCGAGCAGCGCACTGAAACAGCAAACTGTGTCCAATTTCCCAAAATGGGGATAGAGAGGAATGGAGAGGGGATGGCCCGACAGCCATGGTGGGATGTAGGGCTATTGGCTGGATCCAGCCAAATCACAGAACCTTCAGCATCCTATAATGTTTGCTCACTTTTAGGGAACAAAATTTGCTTGGACAAACTGTCTTTATTAAAACTTGGTGGATGGTGGTTACTGCTCTAGAGGAATTTCATGAGCTGCACCGGTGATGCTTGTCCTAGAAATCCTTTAGGACAGCTCTGATGGAGCGGTTTGCACCAAAATCCCTCCAAGCTGACTTGTTTCAGCTCAAAATTAGGTATTGGAGAAACTCATACATGCTCTTAATATAACTTTAAAAATACCTTGGGCGCGTTCTTAAAATAATTTTGAAAATACCTTATTTTTACTCTTTTGCAAGTGTTTGAGGTGGGATTTGGAGGTGAAGCCAGGGTGAAACGTGAAGAACGTGGTGCCTTGTGCATCCCTCCGCCTGGCAGCACCGGTTAATGCTGGTACGATCGTTAAACTAACACAACCACCGATAGAAAAATGAATGGGTAAACAGAACAGATCAAAACCAAGAGATACTGGAGTGGGTGTAATGCAATTCGTGTGCGTTATTTTAAGCAAGGCAAAGGTATTGGCCACGTTACCTCTGCTCAGAACCTAAATCCTGTTTGACCAAATGAGGAGGAGAGCTCTTTTCCCCCCTCCATGCTCCGTTTGGTGGAAAGAGAAAGAGCAGAGACAGCTACCTTTGGGATTCATTGAAATGTTTATGCTGCCTGTGATCAAATTAAAGCGTGATATAGGGCATGCTGTGCTGTATTTTCTGACTTGGGGTTTTAACAGCTCTGTCACACATCCAGATTTTATTTATACAAGTCAGTTCTGTTGTACATACCAGGTGTTGCTCGAAGCTTGACGAAGAGCCGTGTACATGGCTTTATGTCAGGGCACTGCTCGTCTCTCACCGAGTTTGAGGACTCTGTCTTAGGCTGAAGCAAGAAACTTACTTCATCTCCAGTGATGCCAGATGTCGGTTTGGGGAGCGAATAAACCAGTCCTGAGAGCTGGTTTATTGCAAAAATCTGCTGATTTCCCCACTGTGCTCCTACTTGGATGCCGTTCAGACCCTCTGATGATCCTGCTTGCTGTGTTGGAGGCTGCTGGTCATACGAGGGGATACGTCTCCCAGGACAGCATATCTCTTTGCCCAGCAGTAACCTGCTCAGTGTCAGACAAGTGCCTGTCTGTTAACGTAGCCTTGGTGTAGCTGCAGCCACATAGGCAGGTTCTCCTTGCACAGGGCTGCTGATGGAGCAGGGTCTGATCCTTTCCTCTTCCAAAGCAGCCTTACTGCTGGGCAGCTTGTGGGCATGTTTTACTTTGTTGATCCCAAATAGAGTTTGGAGGCTCTTGAGAAGGCAGTTTGGGCGGGAAGGCAGCAGAATAACTGGTTGGGCAGCTGTAGGTGGCTTCCTGTTGAAGTTGTTCCAGTACAACTCTTTTTCTTCTTCTTGCCAACCCCAGGTTTCTGCTCTCTGGCAATCTCCATGGTGGCTCGGTGGTGGCAAGCTATCCCTACGATGACTCTCCCACGCATAAGCCCACAGGAGTCTACAGTAAATCAGCTGATGACGAAGTGTTCAAATATTTAGCGAAAGCTTACGCGTCACATCACCCCATCATGAGAACTGGCAAACCCAACTGCCCTGGCGAGGAGGGAGAGACCTTCCAAGATGGTATCACTAATGGTGCCCAGTGGTATGATGTGGAAGGTAAGCTGTGCTGGAGAATTGCTCTAACTCTGCTCGTTTGGATCACCTAACACCGTCTTACAGAAATAGTTTCTTGCTCCCATTGAGAGCTGACACCCAAACCAGTGGTGATGATCACAGAGGAGAGGACAGCGAGGTGATATTTTTAACTTTGAATGTGTTCTAGCAGCTTGAACGGAAGGGAAGCGGCATCACAGGCATCACAGGCACACCAGTAAGTGCTTGATGAATCACAGCTTGGGAGATGTTTGTAGGGAAGAGATCACAGCAAACGGGAGGCTTCTTCCTGACCCTGTTAGAGGCTGGAGAGTTACCCTGCATGCAGGAGGCTTCATTTGCCAAATGAGCTGTCATTAGGTCTCCAGACGGTTACTAAACTTTGATACAGGAAAGAGGAAGCACTTATTGAAGGTATTAAACCATGTTAGTATTTGGTGAAGTTTTTTTAACCTTCAAACTTGTAATTTTATAAATGATTATTGAATACCCTGCTGTAAAACAACGTAAAATGATTTGAACGTGTGGTCTGAGCTAACCTAGCTGCTCTCGCTGCAAGTGGGGTAGGGAGCTTTTCTGTGAGCTGCTCTGCTGTGAGACCTGTGCAGGTGGCAACAACCAGCACGGCCTGTTCTTGTTCACCAGTGTGATGGGATCTGGAAGGGGATCCCAAATTCGGTTTGCTGGGGCTTCTGGGAGAGCTCCTCTTGCCTCCGTTAGGCAGCTGCTTTGAAGGTGACGGGAATATAAGCAAATTACTTCTTGGTGCCACCACTCTGCTTGTGTGGAGGTGGCTCAGACGTGCAGTGGGCTACTCTGTGTGCCTCAGTTTTGCTGAAAATGGGATTTAAATGGCAGTTTATGTGATGAGCTGCTCTCACGGAAAAGGCTCTGTGCCCCGGTGGGAAGAGAAATCTTGTCTGTGTCATTGGAAGTTGCGCCACTGCCACGGCCCCTCGGCGGATGTTGAACAACCACGGCCTCACCAGACACTGCAGAAGCTTCTGTGGTGAGGACACAACAAAAACCTTGCACAAATGATCCGAGGAAGTTGCGTTGCTTTGCACATGAACTGCCCTGCTTTCCCTTGTGCTAGGGCTGAGGATGACACAGGGTTGCTGAGCAAATCGGGTGTTGATTATCCTTCAGAGCTTACAGCTTAACAAATTTTAATAAGACACTGTCTTTCCAAAACGTGAGTTTGGAAAGTTTCTAAGCTGAGTCCTGGCTTAACCCCACATCCACCTGGCTTGGGAAGGAGGGAGAGGGATCCAGCATTGGGCCTGAACACATCAGCTCTGTGCTGGAAGAGGAAGTCTTGATTTCAGCGGTGGCTGAATCATTCCCCAGGATTTCACTGGTAAGATAGGACGCCGTGTTCAAATAAGATGGGGTTTCACCTCCTCCTCTAGCAGGTGTCTCCTTTCCCCCACCCTGTTGGAGCACACCGGCCCTGGTGTTTGCTGGCTCAAGGTTCGCTCCACTGCTGTGAAAAGTCAGCAGGAGGAAGGTTTGTGTAATCTGGTGAACGTGCTTGCGAGGGAACAGGATATCCTGGATGATCTGTGCTGCCTTGTTCTGCTGGCGGTTGTTATCGGCAAACATCTCTGCCGGGAGGTTCGTTAGCTGCAGCCCTAAGGCTTTCTGCCCTCCTAACGAAGTGGGATGGGTGAGCTCTGAAGAGAGAGTGATTCCAGAGCTCTGGGTCTGGGTTCCCCTGCCCCCAGTGAGCAGTGTTTTTTGCTGTAGCCTTAACTTCTCCATCCTCCTGCTGGGATGAGGGATGTCTGGCTCATGCAAGGTTTGCTAGTGGCTGTGACACTGGGGCATGAGCTTCTCGGGCTGCCTTTGGACTCTCAGCGAGCAGAGGGCCACATCTGAGGAGTCACATGAGGAGAGGCTGAGGGAACTGGGCATGTTTAGTTTGGAGAAGAGGAGGCTGAGGGGAGACCTCATTGTCCTCTACAACTACCTGAAAGGAGGGTGTAGAGAGGTGGGGGTTGGCCTCTTCTCCCAAGGGAATAATGACAGGAGCAGAGGAAATGGTCTGAAGTTGGGGCAGGGGAGGTTGAGATTAGATATTGGGAAGAATTACTTTCCTGAGAGGGTGGTCAGGCACTGGAACAGCCTGCCCAGGGAGGTGGTGGAGTCACCATCCCTGGAGGTATTTAAGAAATGTGTAGACATGGCTCTTCAGGGCATGCTCTAGTGCCCAAGATTGTTGGTTTGTGTCTGTTTGTGGATGGATGTGGTGTTTTGGGGGTTATGTGTTTTTTTGGGGTTGGACTCTATGATCTCAAAAGTCCCTTCCAACCATGAAGATTCTGTGATTCTGGTTCACCTACTTTCCTTTTACAGGAAATGGCAAGGTGTGAAAACTGAAGACCTGTTTTTCTCTGTGCTGCCATCGCTGTGGTTTATATGATGTCCAATAGCCCCCAGCTTCCAGCCCCTGCAGAAACAAGCCCTGTATTTTGATGTTGTGTGAAGTTACTGTGACCCCTTGGGGTTTTAGGTGTTAGATTTAGATTGGTTATTACAAAAAAAAATTCTTCACAGAAAGGGTTATCAAGCATTGGAAGAGGCTGCCCAGGGAAGTGGTTGAGTCACCTTTGCGGGAGGTATTTAAAAGACTCATAGACATGGTGCAGAGGGACATGGTTTAGTGGGTTAATGGTTGGACTTGATGATCTTAAAGGTTTCTTCCATTCAAAATTATTCTATGATGTATTTTTAGTAGTGGATGAAGAGCAGGCAAAGGGGAGTCAGTTGTACACCGTGTGTGACAGAAGCAGCAAAACCACCACGGTGGCTGCATTGAGTCATCTGCAACTCTGTGCCAAGGACCTCTGAGGCTCGTACCCGGACCAGGAGGCCTTTCCCAGTGACTGCAGAATTTAAATGTGTGGTAAAATGAGGCTGGGGAAATCCCAGTACCCTGCAGGAGCTCCCCAGGCTGGGCTGAGCTCTGGAGATAAGCAGAGCAGACAGTTCTGAGAACGGTGTGGGACCCACGCGTGTGGCCTCGGATCAGGTCGTGCCAGGGGAGACCGCAGGCTCCAAGTGAAAGAAAGCCAGGAAAAACAAAGAAATGAGAACATAATGTCTCAACAGGTGGAAATTTCCCTGCCACGTTTTATCATGTGAAATCAAACATGCTGGAAAGCCAACTGCTCCGGCATTCATTCTCCCAGAGTTACCAGCTCAGGTTTACGCCGGTGCCAGACCCCATTAACTTTCATTTGAATTTGCAAACAACCTCTTACGTGTGTCAAACCGAGGTGGCAAGTACAAACCATCGGAGTAATTGTTAAGGTCAAGTGTGCACAGAGAAAGATGGCTTTCTGCCAGACAGCTGAATTTGGCTTCTGCATTCCAGCTGCTATAGATAAGTCTGTGACTGGGACGCTTTTTAGAGGCTATCTCTGTTGTACACGCTCTTACTCTTCCTTCCTTTTTAACCTCTTGGGGTTTTAACTGCCGAGTGGCTGATTCAAATCAAGAAAATACACGCGAGCCTGGGCTGGTGTATGGTCCAGGTGATGTTTGGAAAGCAGTGAAGAAACTGTTCAAGTCTTACCTGTGGGAAGGGCGTGCTTGCCTTTATTTTGCAAAGAGCCCAATTCAGAAACTGAATTCAGTATGATGTTCAGTAGAGTATTTTGTGGGCAGCTGTGGAAGGTCTTGTTATTTGCAGTCCCTTCCTAAAGGCTATTTTCCTTGCTAGTTTGACTCGCTCATGTCCAAGCATTTGAGGTGCTTCTGGTGTCTATCAGAAGGCACTTCTCTGGTTGAAAGTGGATTTAGATCAGGTGAGTGCTCACTGGGTTGTTTTGGCTGTGGTTACCAGCCACACTGAGCTTCCAAACAGCTTCTAGTGGCATCAGACTCAGAGCAATTAAAATGTGTGCTGAGAACAGTGGGTGCTGGTGGCATCGCTGTGGTGGCCTCTGTTTCCTGGGCATGGCTGGAGGCGGTTGCACAGCATGAACCCTGGTAGAAGTTTTCAGTCTTTCTGGGATATGCACAATTAGCTGCCCTTATGTGTTTGTGTTCTCATAAAATTCTTCTTGCAAATTTTTCTTTCCTCTTGAGAAAAGTATTGGCTTCGCAGTCCGAGGGTCTGATGCCTCTTTTCACATCTGACATGAACTGCTGGTGGTGCAGCTCTTGGGAGTGCCCTGGGAAGGCTGCAGGGCTGTGCCGCTCCGGCCCGTGGGATGCAGCTGCTGGAGCTGGAGGCTCAAATCTCACCTCCTCTGAGTTTTAATGATTTCAGATTAATGGACCAAAACATTCCTCTGCCTGTTTGGTGCTGCTGCTGGGGCTCGCCCGGTCTCACACTACGAGACAGTCACTTCTGTCCACAGAGTAAGCGATTTGTGCCACGTATTTAATCACGTCTCTGGCAGCTTTGTGCCATCTGCTCGCCCTGCAGAGCAGGCAGGACCGTTTCTCTGCTTTGGCTCAGCTGCAGATCTCTCATCCCCTAAAGTCTGCCCCAGTGAGAGCCGTAATTAGATTTCTTCATAGTGCAGTTTGAAAATAGAGTCCTTCCTGGCTGGCCTGGAAAGGCTTCTCCTGGCACGTGGTGTATTTATGGTATCTGGATCCCCGGGCTGGACTCTAGGGAGCCGCATTCTCCCGCTTGCCTGCCTGGTGTGAACTCTGTGTGGGAAGAGGGCTGGGATCCTTGCCTGAAGCTCAGTCCTGATGCTCAAGGAGTGGGATAGAGTTGGGGAGAGGTTATTTCTGAGCATTTTTGTGACCTGCTGCCAGCTGGGGACTGGCTTGCTGTGTCTGTAAGTTGCCCGCTTTTGCTTTGCTTTCCTCACCAGTAAAGTAGGTATGATATTTCCTTGGGAAGCTGAAGCTTTATGCAGTGTGGGTTAAAAGACACCCTGCCATACAAAAATGCTGGAATTAATCCAGCAACTTATCCCACATATTACCCAAACAGATAACTAGGGTAGAAGCACTGTAGTCTGTCCAACTGCTGCTTTGGGGTGCTTTTTCTGCTCTAATCGTTAAATGTAGTGCTGTGCTAATGCTGGGCTGCGTGCAGCTCCCTCTTTACACCTCCAGATCTTCTGCGTAGCCAGGAGAGGCTGTGCAGATGGTATATGGAAAAATACCTAGTTCCATATGCTGTAAAAATAACTGTCCTGCTCTGCAACGGGGCCGTGTGAAGGCCAAATATGTGCAGCGGCTACAATCCAAATTTCCAAGCGTGCAGTGGACTACTTTCTCGAAGAGAAGGTTTTCCCAAAATTGATGTAGCAAGCTCTAATTTAGACCGTTGCTGCTCTATTATGGGTGAGCATCTGTCCTAAATTTGGCTTGAATGGCAGATGAAGCACTAAATATGCTTCATAATGGCTCTGGTTTACGTATGGATGTTTTCAAATGCATTAGTGTCCCGCTATGAACAGATGGTTATAGGCTGGCAAATTGTTTCACTCTGTGTGGTGTTTACTGGCGAGGGAGCAGCCCGCTGTGGGTTACTTTTCTGAGCCTGGTAACGGGAGCTGAATAAAACCGAGCGTGTCTGGGATTTGCAGGCCCTGTTCCTCTAACCTCCTGAACCGAGTTTGAGAGTTTTCAAGTCCTCAAATGCTTTTTTTGGCCCCTTGTGCTGGACAGAAAAGTCTCTTTTCCTGTTTTGATCTCAGCCCGTGCACAAGCCGCGGCGCTCTCTTTCTGGCGGCGAGTGCCGTTTGATTTGTTATAATAAAAGTTTTCGTGTTCCCTGAGCAGCAGGCTCCCAGAAGACTTGAGAGGAACTGGGACATCTTTGATCTGGTACCATCCTGCACATCTTCTCAGGGGTCTGTTCTTCTAAATCTGGCTCTGTGCTGGCAGTCCCTCTCGGTGCCACCCGAGCGCGGTGGGGCTGTGGAACTCGGAGCAGCCATCCCTGACCTTTTGGGACAGTGAGTGCTCACAGCCATGGCATTTATTGTAAGACTCCTCTGCTTGGTTAAGTGCTGCTGATGGCTTCTCCTGGCCGTGCATTAACGTGGCCTCTGCAAACGCCAGGTAGTGCATTTGCATCGTGGTATTGATCCATTCTGGCCAGTTAATTGGCCAGCACCATGGAGGGTCCCTCACTTGTGAGTGATGGGGAAACTGCTCAGACAAAGCAAGTGAGGTTTATTAGCATAGCACTAATGCAGCACTTTGGTGGGCAAAGCAAAGATTGGGAGCACAGAGTGTGCATTTCTTACAGGCTTCCCTGCTGGGGTCCTGCAGGCTGGTGCCACCACGTGCGCCACGGGGTGTCTTCTGCTTTGCTTCCTCCTGAAGTCTGCATCTGCCTCCTGTGGGGCAAATGTATAGCTGTTCCATGGCAGATGGGCTGCTGAGAGCCAGTTTGGCTTTCTCAACTCATGCAGAAGAGACCCGTTGCCTGGGCCCCTGTGTCCAGCTGGCTCTGGTGGGAGTAGTTCAGTTAGTGCCCGGGGGTCCCTGAGCTGAGTGGTCCCAGGTGCTGCTGTGCACGTTGGATGGAGCCATCTGGGCAGGGGTGGCCAAGGTCTTGGCGTGCCACTCTCTCTGGATTGTAACTGTACGAGGTTGTGTAACCCAGCAGATTCCATCCGTATGTGAAAAACTTAGTGTGGTGTGTTTTCCATACTGGCAAAACTGCCTGTTCTGCTGGTGGTGGTGGGAACGCTCCTCTCATGTGGCCATGACATCTGGCTGCAGTCATGTGGTGGGATTTGTCAGGGTGACTCTGAAACCTGTTTTGCAGATTTGTGGTGGTTTTGGAATGTCCTTTTTTTTTGCTGTTGAAGCCTGCCATGAATGTTCAGAGGGCTGCACGTTTGCAGCCCTCAGCAGCATGCTGAAGTCTGAGCTCCAGATCAAGAGTTTCGATACCTGCAGACCTCAGGTCTTGCTGGTACGTGATTCATTCCTGCTTGAGAAACGGGTTTGCTTGCTGAGGGTTGAACGTAAACTTCAGCAAACGGGGTCAGGACACTTTCTGGGACAAGGTCACCTTTTTGTTTCATAGCAGTGCTTGTGGTTTCTTTGAAGGGCAAGAATAGCAAGATTAGCTTAATACTGGGAAACAGTTCTGTGTACTCCTGTTTTCTGGTGCTCATGGAGATTTGGCTGGTTTAACACTAAACTAGCAAGCTGTCCCCAGGTGCTGCAACATCCTTAAATTAATTGAGACTGCTGCCTTAAAGATGAAATGTGGGAGGAGGCTGGTGACTTGGCTGCAGGTCTCAGGATAGAGAGTGAGTTTCCCAGGTGGACAAGTCTGTGTCCTGTTCTCCTCTTGCAGGACCTGGCTGTTGTGGGGTCACAGGAGTCCTCAGCGGTGAGGGAGGTGTCACTGCCCTCCTGGATCAAGAGGAGAGTCTCCTGAGGGTGACTTGCTGCAGTTCACTGCGTGCTGTCACCAAGTCAGACCTTGTCAGACTTTCTGCTAGGGCTGCTCTAAATATCAAGTAAATGGAGACCTTCAGATAAGGAGTTGAGGAAAAGAGCAGCTGAGGAAGTAGAGAAGGGGAAGCATTGCCCTTGTCACGTCTAGAGTTTGCTAAGATTTTTTTGGGAGAACAGCTGTGTCGTCCTTGAAACTGATTTTGGCATGCAGATTTGAGCTGCCACTTCCCAAGTTGATAGTCTGGTGTGTCCTTTTGTATCGGAGCCTGAGACTCATTTTGGGTGGAGTAACTTCTCGTGTAGGAAAACCTCACAAAGCTGAAGGTGGTTTGGAGCTGACAGCGAAGGACTCAGCAGCAGAAGTGTTCAAACTCCCGTGTGCCTGCCCTGGCATCCAGGATTTGTAGTGTCTGGAAAATGTCTTCACAGTGAAATGAAGCCATATGAATTTCCAAGTGCTGTGCTGCTGAGTTGAGCTGATAGAGCAGTGGGACCGAAGGGACTGTCAGCTTTGAAGTGTCTGTAGCTGATTTGAATGGCCCAGTGTGCCGTTACTGGGAGAAACAGAGCTCAGGCTCTCACCGTGGTCTGACTTTTCTCCTTAGGTTGTTCACTCTGGAGCTAGGGTGGCATCGTGGTAAGATGCCATGGTGGGGCTGAAGGACAAAGAAGACTGCATCCCGTGGAGAGATGTCTGTACGTTGCTCTCAGCACGTGTCTCTGCCTCTTTTTCTCAGGTGGGATGCAGGATTACAACTACGTGTGGGCCAACTGCTTTGAGATCACATTGGAGCTGTCCTGCTGCAAATACCCACCGACGTCCCAGCTTCAGCAGGAGTGGGAGAACAACCGGGACTCCCTCCTCACCTTCATTGAGAAGGTAGTGTGGGCTGGGATGGGCTTGGGGGCAGCAGCTGTGGATCCCGTGTGTCCATGGTGGGCTGAGAGCACCATGTTCAGTTGCTCTTACAGCTTTGTTTGCTGCGTGTGGTAACACAACTGCTGCAGTTGTTGTGCAGAGGTGGGTGGCTCCAAAGCTGCTGTGTATCTCTGTGGTTCTGCCACAGTTCCCACATCCTCCGTGGTAACAGAGCTCCACTTAGTGGGGGCCTCATGGGGCTCGGTGTTAAACAGAGGGACTGATCAGTGCAGATCTTGCCAAGTAATGCAGAGTACCTGTAGGAGCTCAGTGCCATGAGTCTCCAGAGATGTTCAAAAGCACTGCTGAGACCTTGGCTTGCAGAGTCCTCTGCCAGCCTGTCACCGTGTACAAACTGAATAGGTGACAGTTTAGGCTGGTAAGGGAGGCAGCTGCGTTTTGTCCCTCAGTATGGCCTGTAACCCTGTTATGTTCATACTGTTGTGTGCCTGTGTCAATAAAATAGAGGGTTTGTTAGGGAGGATCAGTTCTGAGATCTCGCTGCCTTCCCAGTGCTTGCTGGAATTCCTGTCCTTGCCATCTGGCCAAGCACTGGCCCCTGTGTGTTTTTGCCTGGCAGCTGTCCTGCTCTGCTGCCTTTGGGGAAGGGCAGGGGGGTATTGCTGGGCGAGGACACGGTCCCCCTGATGTTGCCTGTCTTCAGCCAGACTCTTGCATTGTTTTCCTCAGGTCCACATTGGTGTGAAGGGCTTTGTCAGGGATGCAATCACTGGAGCTGGCCTGGAGAATGCGACCATTGTTGTTGCTGGTATTGCTCATAACATCACAGCAGGCAAATTTGGTGATTACCACCGACTGCTTGTGCCTGGGACCTACAACGTGACTGCAGTTGTAATGGGGTAATGTCTCTGTGGCAGCTGGTGTCCACACTGCCAACTGCTCATGTTCCTTCATTTCACCACAGGGGGTTTTGGCCTCTGTTCTGCAGAGCCTCCTTGCTGAAGCCAGCTGGTTTTTTTTCCACAGTTACACACCAGTGACCAGAGAGAACATCGAGGTGAAGGAGGGAGCTGCAACAGAAGTGGATTTCTCCTTGCAGCCGACTGTAATGCCACCAGTTCTTAACGTCACGCAGCTCACAGCAACGCCTGCTCCTGTCTCTACCATCACCCCCACCCCTGTGCAGGCAGAGGCCCCGAGCCCAACCTCTCTCCATCAACCTATCCAACCTGTGGACTTCCGCCACCATCACTTCCCAGACATGGAGATCTTTCTGCGGCGCTACGCCAACGAGTACCCCAACATAACCAGGCTCTACTCCGTGGGCAAGTCGGTGGAGCTGCGGGAGCTCTATGTGATGGAGATCTCCGACAACCCTGGCGTCCATGAAGCAGGTAACGTGGGAGATCCTTGTTAGTGAGGCCCTAGTGACAGACCCTTCGCTTTGGGAGGCTGTGGGCAGAGCAAAAAGGAGCATAGAGCTGGCATCTGTGTGAGAAGAGCCTGAGCTGCTTCTTGCAGTGTCCTTTCTAAACAGACCAGGTGCAGTGGGTGTCACTGGTGTGAATTAAATAGTGGGGACATCTACCCTGGTCATGGAGCTCTGGGGACAGAAGGACCAAGGGGCTTCCCTGAAACAATGTTTGTCCTTTTTTGGTGTTGTGGAAGCAGAAGGGTAAATTTTAGGTAAATGCCCTCCAGCCCTGCAGAAAGGCCTGAGAGAGCAATGCTCAGGGTGGTGAGCGTTGCTTGAATGTCAGTGGTTATAATTGTCTCTCTGGTGTGGCCGTGTGTGTGCAGGTGAGCCAGAGTTCAAGTACATCGGTAACATGCATGGGAATGAAGTTGTGGGGCGAGAGCTTCTCCTGAACCTCATCGAGTACCTCTGCAAGAACTTTGGCACAGATCCTGAAGTGACTGACCTGGTCCGGAGCACACGGATCCACATCATGCCGTCCATGAACCCTGATGGCTATGAGAAGTCCCAGGAAGGTATTGCTGTTTGTGCTGAAACATCTGTGGGGTTTCTAGCTCTGAGAACAAGCCTTTGGGTTCATGGTACCTCTCTGAGAAATCTGGAAGCCTTGCTGGAGCAGAAGTGCTCTCTGTGCAGGGAGGCTGGGAAGGGCCTTGGCGTGTGCTGTGGGATGAGTGGGTCACTGCAGGATGTGGGCGGTCAACCCATGCTTGAAGCCATTGGAGAGAGCTTTTCTGCTTCAGCAGTGCTATATGCTACCCCTGTTTGGGTCCCCTTATGGTTTGTGGCTATCCCAAGGCTTATTTTAAAAAAAGGCGTTCCTTTGACACAGCTCATACTTGCTGTGCTTTGGTCCATGCTCTTAGTAACATGTGATTTTGGAGCCAGGCTGTCTGCGGAGCGTTTGTCCAAGGATAATATAGACTTTTATCCTGATGTTGAAATTGGCAAAAACATCCTTCAGGGAAGTCCTTAAAACTGCATGGCTCTTGCAGATTGGCAGAACAAAGTCTGTCTAGAATGATTCTCTGGAAACAGAGCTCTGCTCGGGTTTAACAAAGAACTTGTCCGGCTGGTTTGAGAAGGTGAGCTCTGAGGTTTCTGCAGTCGTGACATCCGGCTGCTGGGATTGTTCATGGTTCACAGCCTTCCTGTGAACTGTGGTCTGACTGACATGGAGAGCCTGGGCCAACACCTGCTGAAAAGGTCCTCGGACACCTCTGTGCCCAGAGCAGGCCTGTCGCTGGAGGAGAGTGTGGATGTCCCCTCACTCTGGGGTGTAGGAACCAAGCACTCTTGTGCTGTCTGCTGTCTTCCATTAATTGATAGCTGTAAGTGCTGTAATTAAGAGGATGAAGCCTCTCCACTGAAGTGGGAACTTGCACAGGGCACAAGCTTCAACTTGTGTTTCATTTCCAGGAGACAGAGGAGGAACCGTTGGCAGAAACAACAGCAACAACTACGACCTGAACCGCAACTTCCCAGATCAGTTCTTCCACGTGGCAGACCCTCCCCAGCCAGAAACTCTGGCTGTCATGACCTGGTTACAGACGTACCCGTTTGTGCTCTCGGCAAACCTGCACGGAGGTACGGCACCCAAACCCAGCTCCTTCCTCTGCACTGAGTTTCGGGGGATGGAAGTTTGCAGGGATATCTCCATAGTGTTCTAGGTTTGAACTGAGGAGCTCTCACAGAGAGCCCTCTGCCCTTGGCCTTGCTGTGAGATGGCAGGAGCGAAGGCGGCCAGATTCCTGCCACAGGGGGCAAGGCCTTTTCTAAAGGGTCTCCACAAACAAAGAGTAAACCAAACCTTTTGTTTGTGCTGCTGGGAGATGGAGCCGAAGCTGGAAACAAGGGGTGAAAACTGTGTCCCCAAGCACATTTTCAGGGAGTTGAAGAGGCTGCTGGGAGGATCACAGGCACTTCTCTGGAGGGAGGACATGCGTTGGGGAGAAGCCAGCTCATTGCCTTTGGGAGGTGGGAATGGGCTCTCGTCAGCGGCTGCTCAGCAGCTGGATCTGGGAACACGATACAGTGCTGTGGCTGTTGGAGGCTTCGTAGTATTTATAAAATGAAGGGAATGAGATGTAATCCTGAGGGTTCCCTGCCTCGAATTGCGTGGCGGAACTATGAAATTTGCCGTAATTTAATTATCTTTTTTTTTTTATTTTTGGAGCGATCTAAATTAAGTCTCTGTATCACAGCTTATTCCCTAGACAGTTTGTCTGCTGGCTCGTAGCTGCAGTGACTTGCAGGTGGTTGCTCTGCGCTCGCGTGTTGGATTTGGTAGCGCAGGAGCACCGTGTGTGGGTACGAGGGAGCTGGCGGGTCTCCAGCAGCGGTGGGGCCTGGGCTTCCACGGAGCTCTTAGCACAACTTGTGTAGGGAAAGCTTCAGTAAGAGGAGGATGTTATAATCTGTCAGCGTTTGCAATGAACGCCGGGAGGCTGAAAGGCTACAGAAAGTTGGGCCCAGGGCATCGTGCATGTTCTAGGAAATTCCACCCCTTGTTTTCTTGTTTTCTCTCCCCTGGGAAAGTGATTATTACGTGGTTGTGCTAATCCCTCCTGCACGGAAGAGCCAAACCTGGGATGTGTCATGATTTGTGTTCACCTTCCCAACTGGGTGTCATCTTATCTCTTCCTGTGCCTTTGTTGTCTCTTCTAGCCACTGGGCTTAATGCTTTGTTTAATGCCAGGTCTTGAGAAACAGAAGACTTGGCACTCCTTGGAGAAAAAGAAAAACTTCCCCTGTTAGGCTGAGGGATCACTTGGAAAACGTGCAAGTACAAGTCAAAGTTTGTTTCCCCTGCAGGTTCTCTGGTGGTTAATTACCCCTTTGATGACGATGAGCAAGGAATAGCCATATACAGTAAATCCCCAGACGATGCTGTGTTTCAGCAGCTGGCGCTTTCCTACTCCAAGGTAAAGCTGTAATGGGAAATGAGGCACATCCTGCTGGGTTAACTCCTGGGGGTATTGGGAACCTCCTGAGTGGTTGGTAGAGGAGGATGCAGATCCTGTGGGTGCCTGGTGGTGTGGGCACAGCAGAAGGGTCCTGAGGGAGGCTCTTGTTCCATGTCCAGCACATTCTCTCTGCAGGCACTGTAGGAGGAACCCTGTGTGCAGGCACGGGGCCAACACGCTGAAGGGTGGTAGAAAATGCTGTACGTGGGCCGGGAGGAGAGCAGGGGTGTCCATGGGTTGGGTGTGGATTTGGGTGAAGTCTGTTTGCGCTGCGGCCATACAAACACATGCCTGCACGAACCTCTGTGTCTGGTAACCCCAAGTGTGTGACTAATGTTAGAACAAAAGTGCCAGTGGCTGTAGAATGCAGAGACTCAGCTTCACATGTTGCATCTTGTTTTTTAGGAAAATGCAAAGATGTATCAGGGAAGCCCTTGTAAGGATATGTACCCCACCGAGTACTTCCCGCACGGCATCACTAATGGGGCTCAGTGGTACAACGTTCCAGGTAAAGAAGACCTTAAATCTCTTGCAGTATTTGTCTCCCAAGTTAATGCACGTGCATCTTAAAGAATTCAGTCTGATCAGTCACAAGCTCTGCATCGGTCAGCCTAGATTACTGTAACTCAGGTTTCTTTTATGACCTTTTAAATAGCGTAACCAGATAAAGTTATTCCTTGAGGGAAGGAATTTATAGTGTAGTTTTTCTGGCTATTAGAAAAAGGGTTTAATAAAATTTTACAGCAGTATATTAGCATGAAAGGTATTTACAAGAAGGATGGTTATTTGTCTGCTGTTTTGGCATCCCTTTGAAGCTTGAATCTTGCCCTATGTAAAAGCCTTCTCTCTTCAGCTATAAAATGCACACTGTAGATTGTACTTCGTCTTCTCTATCTGATTTTTTTTTTTTTTGAGCTGCAGTACAATTGCCTTCAGGAGACCTTGTCAAAACTTCTTTTACATTCCTGTTGTAGGTGGGATGCAAGACTGGAATTACTTGCATACGAACTGCTTTGAAGTGACCATTGAGTTGGGCTGTGTGAAATATCCAAAAGCTGAGGAGCTGCCAAAGTACTGGGAGCAGAACCGCCGCTCTCTCCTCCAGTTCATGAAACAGGTGAGACACTTTGAGCCCAAGCAATCGTTTGAGCTGCCGCTGGGGTTTGCATTAGATGTGCCAGAACAAACAGGGCAATCTGTGGGCTGAAACGAGTGCTGCTTCCTGGCCAGACTGGGTACCTGCTCCACAGAAACCATCCCCATCAGAACATGTCTTGACAACTCCTCTTCCCTCCTTAATATAGCAAAAATCTGTGAAACAGCAGCCAGGTGATGCAGGTGTGGGCTTTTTCTTTACCACTACCTTGGTTTTCCCTAGGCTGGAGTGGCCTTTATGTGCTGTTCCCATCTGAGTTGGGGCTGGTGGTAGCGTTGCACACCTGGGGCATGCAAACAAAGGTGTGGGGCAGAGAGTTCGGTGGTGGCACCCCAAGCCAAACAATTGCTCATTGTACTCATCAGGTGATCTTTGTCCACGCCAGCTGCTGGCGAGTCTAACCTAAGCCCTTTTGGAATGTCTTACTCCCCTGGAAATGCTTAACATCCTGGGCTGGGAGCTGGTGGGATCTGGGTGTGGGTGCTCCCACAGTGATGTGTGGGGTGGAAGGCAGAGCAAGGGCTGGCACTCAGCAGGGCTTTGGGTCTGTGCACAGGTTCACCGCGGTGTCTGGGGATTTGTGCTGGATGCCATGGATGGAAGGGGCATTCTCAACGCCACCATCAGCGTTGCTGACATCAACCACCCGGTGACCACCTACAAGGATGGAGACTACTGGCGCCTCCTGGTCCAGGGGACCTACAAAATCACAGCATCTGCCCGAGGGTGAGCAAGTAATGGCACAAGGAACAGTCGTGTGACTGACTTCCCAGTCAGGAGTGGGTCCCGTTGCCTCTGTCTGCAGCAGATGTAGGCTCTTTGTCCTGCAACGTGATGCTACCCTGATATCAAAGACTGCTCACCTGGCTCTGGTGTACAATCCAAATCTTGCCCTGTTTGGAGGTGGTGCGGGGAAGGAGGTGATAACTTAATGTCTTTAGGAGACATTGTCTTGCAGGCAGCTGCCCACAGAAATTACTTCATCACTTCAATTGCTGCCAAAACCTTTGGGTTAAAGCAGCCTGACTTCTTGTCCTGCCAGTGTGCAACGTAACCCTGCAACACCTGAGCCAAAAGCAGCTCAGTGCCATGTGGGGCCCTGAGCTGCTCCCTGTCCTCCTGCCATTCCCGTGTCCCTTTGAAGTGTTGTTGCTTTTATTGTTGTTCTTCTCACTCTTGACTGTGGAGCTGTAGCAGTCCCCTGAGAGTGTCTAGTCAGGAAGGGGGTGGCTTGTTGTGCGAGGTCTTGAACCCCTGACATTTCTTTGTGCCTTGTCTTCCCTGGGCAGGTATGATCCAGTCACTAAGATGGTGGAAGTTGGCAGCAAAGGTGGAGTGCAGGTCAACTTCACTCTTTCACGGACAGACATCAAAGTGGAGGAGGGGAAGGTGCCAGTCCTGAACACCCCAGACACCAGCGACCCCAACGAGAAGGAATTTGAGACTCTGATCAAAGATCTCTCTGCTGAAAACGGCCTGGAGCGTCTCCTGCTTTCCTCCTCGGGGAATGTCTCTCCGTATCGATACCGCCCTTACAAGGATCTCTCTGAGTTCCTCCGAGGCCTCTACCTCAACTACCCGCACATCACAAATCTCACCAGGTGAAAACTTAAAGCAGCAGCGCTCAGCTCCTCCCTGAGCAGCAGCCTTGGGGTAGGAAGGCAGCGAAATGACAAGCCATGAACACAGTGCAGAGATGGGAAGCTCGTCCCTGCTCTTCCCTGTGGTCCCTGAGTTCAAGAGAGCCCCACGTGTAAGGGCATGGTGGCAGAGCATTGCCTGCAGGGACTCACAGACGCATCCGTGTGCTTTTTCCTGAGGCATCGTTTTACTGACCTAAACCTGGGGTGCTCTCAGTTCCCCAGGGGTGGCTGGGCCTGGTGATATTCCCAGCATTGATATCCCAGGTTTCTGCAAGTATCTCTTTTTCACTCTCTCTATTTCCTCCCTTTTCCAAATCCTTCCCAACATCTACCCTTCTAGAGAGTCCCTGGCAAAAGTGATAAAATTTGACTTAAAAATCTCAAATGGCCTTTTTTGTCTGTCTGTCTTTGGATTTCAATTCAATACTGCGAGACATGTTTGAGTTAACTTGCCCCGAGCCAAGGTCTCTGCCCTCCTGCAGGAGACCAGCTGCTGCAGGGTTCTGCTTTCCTTTGTGACCTGTAGCGCTCACCCTCTGTCAGCTTTAGAAAGCACAAATCTCTTTGTCCCAGGACCTCATTTGCTTGTTGTTACCAGGCACAACGTGCTCATGTGCTGTCCCCACTGGTGCCAAGGCTGCTTTTCTGATCTGTGGCCCCTATTGTCTGTTCCAGTTGCATCAGCCCCGATTGTGTTCCCTGCTTTGCTTGCATTCAGTTTTCTAGCTTTAATGGCATGGCTGTAGCAGAGACTTCTGCACTACTGGAAATAGGCCTGCTTTTGTCCTCTTAAACTGGGTGCTTTATAAATTAGTTTGATGTCCAGATGTGTCCCACTCTGAAGGAAAAAAAAACCAAACATCCAAGCAAAAACCAGCCCATAACACTGGAAGAAGAGAGGCCTTTAGCAATTCCACGTTTATGGGGATGTTGTGGGATATATAGAGATACATGGAGCACTGGGCATCCTGTACAGCTGGTCCTGGATACAGAATCACAGAATCACCATGATTGGAAAGGACCTCTGAGATCAAGTCCAACCTTTAAAAAAAAAAAAACACAAACAAAAAACCCACCACCAACAAAACAAAAAACACCCCACCACATCACACCCACCCACAAACCAACAATCTTGGGCACTAGAGCATGCCCTGAAGAGCCACGTCTACATGTTTCTTAAATACCTCCAGGGATGGTGACTCCACTACCTCCCTGGGCAGGCTGCTCCAGTGCCTGACCACCCTCTCAGGAAAGTAATTCTTCCCAATATCTAAACTAAACCTCCCCTGCGCCAACTTCAGACCATTACACAGATGCTTATGTTCAAACTCATGTTCGCAGTGAATTTGGTTCAGTGCTACTGCAAGTATCTCAAGATGTGGTTGTGTTTTGTGTGTCACTTGTCTTTGCAGCCTCCTTGTGGAGGTTGTCGGCAGTTTCTTTCCACACAGGAATTTCTCCGTAAGGCCAGGGTAGGGGTGGCAGCTCTGTTCCTGAGCTGAAGCTCTGATTTCTCTTCTCTTGCAGTTTGGGTCAGAGCGTTGAGTTCCGTCAGATCTGGTCCCTCGAAATCTCCAACAAGCCCAACCAATCTGAGCCTGAGGAGCCAAAGATCCGCTTTGTTGCTGGTATTCATGGAAACGCTCCCGTTGGTACGGAGCTTCTCCTGGCACTGGCAGAATTTCTTTGCATGAACTACAAGAAGAACGCTGCTGTTACAAAGGTGAGAAGCCAATGTGGGGGACCATCTTGGAGCCCTCCAGTTGTATCTTGAGAAGACAGTGCTCACTGGGAGAGACTTGTCTTGTTAACCGTTGCTTGTGGGTTGCAGTGATCCCACACATAATGGGGAGGTGGCGTAAAATCTATGGGTCCAGTGGGAACCTCTGGGTGCTGATACGAATATAAGCAGCAGTTCCTAGGATGAGATCCAGGTAAATGAGATACACAGACAATGAACCCTACTAATTGCACTTTATGTACTGTTTCTCCTCCTTTTGTTCAGCTGATTGACCGAACGCGGATTGTGATTGTGCCTTCCCTGAATCCAGACGGACGTGAAATAGCTCAGGAGAGAGGCTGCACGTCGAAGATAGGCCAGACTAATGCTCACGGCAGAGATCTGGACACAGACTTCACAAGTAAAGCAAACTAAAGCAAAGGGATGTGTGGTGGCCCTGTAGAAATGCAGGCTGCTGTAGAAGTCTCTCACTAGCTGCTCTGGGGTTGGGTGTAGTCACTGGGTTATAGGGTCTACCCATAAAGAGAGCAGCGCTCCTGCCCTGGAGCCCAGGCAGCACAGCTGCTGGGGGGCTTCCAAAGCTTGGATCCCCCTTACAAATGGTAATTTGCAGTCTCTTATGTGCCAGGAAGAGCCAAAGCAGAGCTCTTTAGGAATAGTCCAGAGGTCAGACAACCCCTGATGTCTTTTTCCTGTTAATTGATTTCTTTGAAACCCCCATTTCTGAAAAATGGCCTCTGTTCATGCCCCCTGGTTTTCATGCTTTTCTGGTTTCCATGTAACTGCCCTCTGTGTCCATAGCACGGTGTTGGTGCTATGCCCACTCTTTCTGGGGACAAGGTGTTCTTTCTGGCAAGGTTTGGCTGGGATCATCCCAAGTGCTTTCTTAAGAAAATGTCAGTTCGGTGACATTGAGGAGAGAGCAAACATACGAAATGCCACATGCATCACAAAAGTAAATAGCTTGGGGAAATAGTGATGTGTCACATTTGTTTTAGCTTTGCAGATGAATTCCTAGTGTGGACTAGGTGCTTTACTTGATCGGTCAGGTGCATCTGCTGAGATCCAACAAATACCTTTTAACACATGCAGCAGACTTAATTTCAGACATAAACAAAAAATGTACTTCTGCTCTCTCATATAGAAAGGAAACTGTTGTCAATTCCCTTTTCTATTTGCTGTTCTGATTTACAGGCAATTACTCCCGGTACTCGGGGACACGAGAGCCTGAGACCAAAGCCATCATAGAGAACTTGATATTGAAGCAGGATTTCAGCCTCTCTGTTGCTCTAGATGGAGGATCTCTGCTTGTCACTTACCCATATGACAAGCCAGCACAGACAGGTATGACAAACCCCTCCAGGGCCTTGCACGCACGCAGTTACCCTTGGGCTATCTCTGCAGAAGTTCATGTGACCACATGGTGTAAGAACTTCTTGCGCTGGTTCTGCTCTGTGGCCTCTGTTTGTGTTGAGCCCTTTGTATCTGGAGTTGACAGACTGTTAAGTCAAGCTATAAAATCTCACAGAATCGGGCTAGGTATTAAAACGTTTACCATTTTTGTTCTTACAACTGTATTTCAACTTTTCCTCTGCCAAAGCCAGTGTTAAGTCTGCTTTTGATACCATCCCTCAGTGTTAGAGGAAATCTGGAATGCCCCTGAAACAAAATGTATCACTGTTCAGTACAGGATCAAGGGGTTAGGATGGGAATCCGTCCCACCTCCTTGGTGAGTTGCACTCTCAAAGCCTCACTTTCCTCTTTGTAGTGGAGAACAAAGAAACTCTGAAGCATTTGGCATCTCTGTATGCGAACAACCATCCGCTGATGCATTTGGGCCAGCCAGGCTGTCCAAATAAGTCAGGTATGTTTGGTTGAATCCTTTAACCCCCTGTCAGCCTGTGCTAGATCCTGCTTGCAGCAGCTCTGCCTGACAGCTGTGTTCTTGCTCTCACAGATGAGAATATTCCTGGCGGTGTGATCCGTGGCTCTGAATGGCACAGTCACTTGGGAAGTATGAAGGTACGTCATGCGGCACGAGGCTTTCCATCTCTGCTAAACGAGCATTTGTTTTGATTTGTTTGGATTTCTGGGCAAAACTTGCCCACCTCCAGCTGCACTTTTTAAAGACCACCTCTTTTGTTGTATCTGTGCTTTTGGTTTTTGCAGGATTTCAGCGTTACGTTTGGTCATTGTCCTGAGATCACTGTTTATACTGGCTGCTGTTACTTCCCGAGCGCAGGACAACTCCCCAGGCTGTGGGCAGACCACAGGAAATCTCTCCTCAGCATGCTGGTGGAGGTGAGCCCTGGTCTGAGGGAGGAAATTCCATCAAGGAGCGAAGGGAGTGGGCCGGGAGAGAAGGAGAGCAGTATGGAGAGTCTTTGTGGTTTTATCAGTGCTATGTAATTACAGACAGTCACAATTTGGACTGCATGAGGGATGGGTTGAACAGAGGCAGCAAGTGGCCAAGAAATGTGTTGACATGAGAGTTAAACATCTGTGCTGTTTTGCCTCATGGTGGGCTGAGCAGCCCTTGCAGTATCGTGCACTTTTATTTATTATGAGGCTCAGGGATGGAGGAGAATGGGCTGTATTTTGAGGGGAAGATTAGATCCTGGTTTAGTTATGAATTTGACATATGCTTGGATCTGAAAGTGAAGTGTTTGAAATGCTTTATTTCAGGTTCATAAGGGAGTCCATGGGTTTGTCCAAGACAAGAGTGGCAAGGCAATTTCTAAAGCTACCATTGTTCTTAATGAAGGCTTGAGGGTGTATACTAAAGAAGGTGGCTATTTCCACGTGTTGTTGGCTCCAGGTTTGCATAACATCAATGCGATAGCCGATGGGTACCAGCAGAAACATGTCAAGGTATGTGAATGTCTGTATGGGAGATCTTCCCCCTGCTCCTGTCACGTCCCCTAAAGATGTCCCCTATTTGGGCTTTGCTTCATTGGCTCTGTTTAGCTGCTGATTGTGTGCCCAGTGTAACTGTCTTCTGCCGTGGTACAATGGGTGGAGAAGAATTTCCCAGCAGCTCTAGGTTGTTTTGGGCAGTAGCTTTTCTTTCCATTGCACTTGTCTTTGGCATCCACCCGGTCCTTTTTTGGTTGGCAAGTACCTCTTGTGTCTGGACACCTAACAGAGGTGCAAGCTTTGAGACAGTCTGAGCTCTGGTATCTTCTTGCAGGTCTTTGTACGTCATGATGCACCCAGCTCTGTTTTCATTGTATTTGACACCGAAAACAGGATATTTGGTCTGCCAAGGGAGCTGGTTGTAACTGTTGCAGGTAAAGTGACACTTCTGATCAAAGCTTTGAGCTTTGCTTTCTGTGCTGGTTTGTGCTGACAATGACCCTTCTCTTCACTGAACTGGAAAAGTAGCCTGCACTTAAGCCATCTCGTGCTTTCCCTTCTGAACACAGGCTTGTCCTTGCGAACTGGTCCAACAACCCTTGGATCTGGTGGTGCTGGGCTGGCAGATGGGAGGGAGGGAGGGGGAGGGGGAGGGTGTTGCAAGGGTCTGAAGGGTTCAGAAAGGACCTGATGCCTGGAATGGGGAGAGCCTGTTGTGCATACAGCTGGGAACTAGGAGGACTTGCTTTTCTTCAGGGTTTCTTTGAGTGGTGTGGCACCAGGTGAGCATTAAGAGATCATTTTTGTCAAGGTGGCAGCTGTTGGGGCGGCTGGAGTTTATACCCAGTGGTCTGCAGAGCAGCTCAGTGATGCTATCTTACATTGCAAACCCAGAAAGTAAAGCTAGTGCAGTGCTGCTCTGAGAGCACCTCTCCTGCATGGCATGTCTTCTGTGGTCTGGGAGGAAGGAGCAGGGTCACAGTAAAGTGAGGAAGGTGGTGGTGTAGAAGGGAAGAGAGATGGTGGCAAGCCTAGGAGCTTCTGGAGTGGGGGAACAAGGCATTAATACCAATGTCTTCTGTCTGGCAGGTGCAAGTATGTCTGCTCTGGTCCTCACTGCCTGTATCATCTGGTGTGTCTGCTCAATTAAGTCCAACAGACACAAGGATGGCTTCCACCGCCTCCGGCAGCACCACGACGATTACGAGGACGAAATCCGCATGATGTCCACCGGCTCAAAGAAGTCCCTCCTGAGCCATGAATTCCAGGATGAAACAGACACTGAAGAAGAAACATTGTACTCCAGCAAACACTGACACCTCCCAAGCAGGAATGGAGGTTTCCGTGGACCAGACCCGGTGGCGGGGGGCAATCCTTGTGGTTCAGTTTTGGAACATTAGCTTGCAGGATGTGTCCTCCAGAGGTGTGGGTGGCAGCTCCTAACTTCCCTCTGCTATTTGCTCTGTTCCTACATACGTGCAAATCAGTGGGTGTTGGAGGCTGTGTTTGGGCTAAGGATGTGGCTTGTTTCATTTTTGGGTCAAGATCTGGAGGTTCACATGAGGTTGTTTGAAAGGCAACTTAACAGGGTGGCCAGCAGAGTTCCTAGCACTTCCCCAGCATCTCAGCACAGTGAGCAGATGGTGGGGAAGTGCCCCAAGACCTGCATGGGGTCATAGTTAAAACACTCCAAAGCAGTTTCTCTACCTGTTTTGATTTCATGTTTTCCACTCTGTACTTGAGGGAAGGCAGATCCTTCACTTGACTCCACATTCTGCATAGCAGCCCTCAGAAAAAGACTGTATTTGGTTCTCAGCTGCTCCCTTGGAGCTTTTCCTCACCATGAGATGCTGTGGCCTGCTGTAACCTGCAGTGGTTCTGGAGCACCTCTAATGTGTTGCTAATTCCAGGCAGTGACTTGGCATCCTGAAGCCTGGGGGAGATGACATCCATTCTTGATGTGAGCTGGAGAAAGGAGCAAATGGCAGAGCTTTAGTGAACTCTGAAAGAGTTCAGTTGCTTGCTAGCTCTGCAGTACTGCTGTCCTGACTTTTGGGGAAGAAGGAAACTTTATCCCCCCATCACCCTCAGTTGCTTCTTTTTTGTGTAGTAAACTTGGCCCTTGGGGTCTCGTGTTAGCGTTACAACAGCACGGTGTCTGGAAGAGCAACAGAAGGTTGTTCTCAGTAAATGGATACACCGATTGTGGTGGATACTGTAGAAAAGTAATCAGTTACCAACTCCATCTGATCAGTTTTGCTCCAGCCCACCACTATTCAGGAGGAAACAGTGAAGTCTGACCACGCTTTGTATTTGAGCACTATTGGAGCAGCGGGGAGAGGTCATGCGAGTATCCATGGCCCAACTTCAGTCTAAAATTTTGAAGAAAAGCTGCACCATTTGCCATTGTCCACCTAATACCACTTAGTGATCCGAGCACTTTGGAAACACCCTCTCATCAAGCTCTGGTGATGGTAGGCATCAGATTAGCCTGCTGACTTTGCTCTGTTACAGCGTCTCTGAGCTATGCAGCAAGAGCTCCACCTGCTTGTGTGCCTGCAGTTGTGTCTGCTGCTGCGGGGGCCTGGGTGCAAGGCGTGAGGAAGGTGCTGAATGGCTGTGCTGAAGAAGGGAAAAGCAGCCAAATTCTGTTGTAGCACTTGGCAGGAAGCTGGAAAGAGAAGCTGCAATGTGCATCCCCAAGACACACTACATTTGTGGGGAATAGAAGGGATGCCTGGAAGGGAAGAATGACTGAAATGTTTGATTTCCAAAGCCTTTATGCATCCCTGGTGTTCCTGTGCTTTCTGGGCAGAAGGCTGGGGTTAGAATAGGCACTTATTTTCTTGCTGCTCATTTTCTTTTTCAATTTTTGCCCTACTGACCCAAGCTCCAGTGCACCAGGGCCTGGCGCAGCAACATCTTAGGTGTGTAGTTTGCCCTGAGCTGATCTGTTCTCCAGCAGCCCGGGGCTGTCCACTAGTGAAACCTGCCTGTGGTGTCCATGGGGGGTGTTTGCACCCAAATGTATGACGGGGTCTGTTCTGCAGGGCTCTGACCTTGTCTCCTCTGGGGGAACAGCGCAGTGTGTTCCTCATTGAAGGCTGTTGGGCCGTGTCACCTGGGAAAGGAGCTGTTCCTCACCATTTTCTGCAGCAGATGCCTTTCCAGAACCACACCCTGCTGTGCTCATCATCTCAGCTAACTCTGTGCAGCTATCTGGAGGGACAAAGATGACCCTTGGACACCAGTATAACTTCTGACCTGTTCCATGAAGAATTATATTGCAAGAAACACATGATAAGATCTGGTTGGGGAGGTGTGCTGGGAATGGAGAGATGAGGCTGAGCGTTCCCTGTGCTCCTGTCCCCCATTGCTGTGGTGTGAAATGGCTGCTCTTGTTCTGCAGGAGCCCTGAACATCCCTGTGCTTGCCCCCAGCTCATCATGCTGAGCACCAGATGGGGTTTAGTCCTGGGTTGTCACCCTTGTCCATGTGTAATGTGCACACCGGCACGCAAGGGCGTTAACCCCACCTAATCTCCCAACTTTTCCTGCTTCTGAGGGCTTTAATGAGACACAGCTGGGGTTTTGCATTAAAGTTGAGTTTGCAAATGGCTCTTAGGGCTCTTGTGTGGGCTTTGTGTGCTCTGGCAGCAGGTAACGGACTGGGCTGGCCTGGCTTTGTCCCACTAGCAATAGGTCTCTGAGTGTGCGGTTTGCAATTAGCACGGGGTGGGCACCTATTTTTCAGGTGAGTGGATTTGAGATGTTTCGCAAACCTGTGAGACTTTACACAGCAGTTGCCCCTGGCTCAGTGCTCGGGGCCGCAGTGAGTTAAGGCTGGGGGTGCCTGGTGCCAGTTTCGGGGAGGCAGAGACGGCCTCCCCGCAGTCTGTCCGTCTGTCTGTCCGTCCATCCGCAGGAGGGCCTGTGCTGCTTCAGGCGAGGAGCCAGTCCCCCCCCCTGCGGGCACCTGTCCCTGGAGCGTGTCGGTCCGTGCACTGTGCCTTCAAATGTACATTTTTAAAAAGGGACTTGAATTGCCTTTTCCTGGAAGCGGGACGGGGCGGCGTGAGGCGAGGCCTGGCTCTGCCCTCAGCCGGGCCCTCTGTTTTTTTTACCTGTATACTGAGATCCAATAATCTGTATAAAACTATTTTGATGTCCACCTGGGTTGGTCTCGTTCTTCCTACAACGGGCAGTTTGGGGGGGGTCGGGGCTGGAAGGGGAACCGAGGCGACGCCTCCCGCCCCCGGTGCTCGGCGCTATACGGGGGATCCGCCGAGGGGAGAGCAGCCTCCCAGCCGCTGGGGGGCGCTGCAGCGGGAGGTCCGCCCGTCCCGTCGGCCGCCGCGCCGTCAGGAAGACGCTCTGGCCCATCCTCGGCGGCGCCGTCTCGCCGGGCCGCGGCTGACGTTGGATAACAAAGATGGCGGCGGGAAGCAGCAACTACTGGGAAGGCGAGTGGGGCCTGAGGGCGGTGGGGACGGGGCGGCTACGGCTCCGAGGGGCTCTCCCGGGACACAGCCCGAACCAGGCACGGCGGAACCGCCGTTGGTTCCCTCTGCCCGCCTCCGGGGAGGGGGGGAAAGGGGGGGCGGTGCCGCCCAAGCCCGGAGGCTGCGGTGGCCCCGTCGGCCCCTCAGCCATGAGGCGTCGGTGCCCGGCGAGGAGGCCCCGGGGCCCGCGGTGAGGGAGGCGATACCCTGCCCCGGACCCTCCCGGTCGTGGGGGACAGGGCCTGAGGGTGTCCAGCCGGGAAACCCCCCCCCTTTCAGCGTGGGGAGGGCCCCCCTTCTCTGTGGGGTTCCCCTTTCTGGGGCTCTCAGGGGTCTCTGATGTGGGGGGACCCGGTGAAAAGTCGTGGGGTCACCCTGCGGGTTTGTGACTCTCCCCCCGCTCTGGGCCGCCCTGTGCAGATCTCAGGAAGCAGGCGAGGCAGCTGGAGAACGAGCTGGACCTGAAGCTGGTTTCCTTCAGCAAACTCTGCACCAGCTACAGCAGCACCCGAGACGGAAGGCGCGACAGGTATAGGTACTAGCCCATTTCTTTACATTTTAAACGCTGCTTGTGGTACTTGGTTCGTTTTTTGTAATTTGCTGAATGCTAGTCCCACCTGTGGCTTTTATGCTGAGCTTCTTAAGAAGCTGCTTTCAGCACTTCTTCGTGCTGCGATGCTGGTGTTGGTCTTGAGGCAGCATTGAGTGATATTGGCAAGTGAGTCAGAAAGGTGTGTGGGCTGCAGTGGTGCATCGTGAGAGCTTACATGGCACTCGGGGAGGCTGAATTTAAACTTCAGTCTGTAACTGTGGAGTTAATGTGTGAACTAATGAGACAGCTTTTTAATGCTTGCTACTCGTGGCTTATTTTATAGTTTTTCTTGTATTAAACTAGCAGGCGTTTTCAGGGACTTCAGTACCTCACCTTTAGCCTTACACTTTTCAGGTGGTGTGGTATTTGTGATCCCTGTCTTAATGATAAGGGAACTGAAGTGCTGAGCAGCTGTGACTGATCCAAGGTTGAGTAGAGCACCAGTCCTCCCTTTAGGAGGGGTAGCTGTTTCTTTCTGGTTTTCTCCTAAGATGAGTAATAAAAGCAAGAGCTATATATATATATGTTTTTATATATGAACCAGATACATACATACGTTTGTGTATATATGTATGAATAGTTTCTGTTTGCTTTAGGCAGATTTATGTCTGACTTAAGAATTAGTCTGGTAAAACTTTTCAAGTCTTTTTAGCTTATGGGCCAGAGTTGATGTCTTCCCTGCACTTCCACAGCAGTAATTATTGACTTCTCTGTTGCTGTACAACCTTTATAAACTGCCATCCTTTGCTTATTAACTGTAGTTTCCAACACTATGTATCAGTTGTACTGTGACTACTGTATGCACATGTTGGTATTTTTATTTATTTTATTTGATAATTAATTGAATAATTGAATCAAGTTTTGAAACTTTCCGTGATTTTCTGGTTCTGGAAGCCTGAGAGTGCCTCAAGAATGATCATGTTACTCTTGAATCAGTCCTGGTCTCTCCCTTGTTTCTAGCTCTGTGCTGTTAACTCGTGTAATCTGATTGTTCTGGTTATTTTTGCTGTCCTGTACAAAGCTTATTTCTCTTACTCTAGTTATGGTAGTTTATCAAAACAAAGAGTAATCTCTGAAAGGTATTAGCTGTCATACTTCTACAGGTTGTGTTCAATTCCGTTGCTTATATACAATTCTCATTGTGGTTTTGATTTTATCTTAAAAAGTATAGGGAAGGTGTGTTGTATGAAACTGTAGTTGTGATAAATGGTGTTGTTTGTATTGCTCTGTAGACTGCTTAATAGGTCAGTGGGTTGTCCTAGCACTGTCTTATTAAGGTGTGACTGTGTAGCTGCTGTAACATGCTAATGGTGTAGTGCTCCCTCCTGCCAATAAATAAGTGAACCAAGCTTAAAATTTGGGCAGAGAAGGGCATTGGTACTAGGCACGTGCTGGTAGTGTTTGCTGTCAGGCGTATCTTCTAAGGAGAAGTAAATTTTCCTCAAGTGATACTGTGTCATTAGCTCAAATAAGAGTTAAAGGCATGTGTGATAGGAAAATGTAGCGTTTCTGAGCTAATTCATCTTTCTAGGAAACCTGGGTAGTGGAGCTTTCCAACACCTAACACTAGTGTTTCCTTATTTCTTGCATTCATGAAAAGGTGATGTACTTTTCAGTAACTGCTACTCCTTTTCTTCCTTAGCTCTGACACAACTCCTCTCTTAAATGGATCGAGCCAGGACAGAATGTTTGAGACCATGGCTGTGGAGATTGAACAACTTCTGGGAAAGGTAACTCAAGTTACTATGGTTTTACTTCAGTAGCATCTAGGAAATATTGTAGTACAGGTTTCTGTGGTGAATGTTACTAGTGAGAGTGATAGACGGATGTTTCTGAAGGTGTGTGTCTGTCGTTAGAGGTAGCTCCTTCAACTTAAGCATTATAACTTTATTATGAAAATAAGCTATTTCATGTTGGTTTTTTTTCCCCTCCTTCCTCTAGCTTACTGGAATAAATGATAAAATGGCAGAATACACAAATAGCGCAGGAGTCCCGTCCCTGAACGCTGCACTGATGCACACGTTACAGCGTCACAGAGACATACTGCAGGTAGCAAACACATGTCCTCCTTGCTTTTATGTTGTTGCTTTGTTTGGAATAATTATTAGTAGTGCTGATATCACTTGCTTGAATGTTTTACCAGAACATTTAAATGCCACCAATCCCATCTCATTTTTGTCTCTCCAGTCAGTTAATAGTTTGCATTAACTTCCAAGCGTTTTGGGTGTTGCTTTAATGAGTCGCTCCTGCACGTTGTATTAGAGAACAATTAACATTTTAAAAGATGGTTGGATCTTGCTTAAGTATGTTGTTTTGTTAAATTGATCTCTCGATCCTCATTTTGGAGTAACTGTTTCATTACAGGATTACACGCACGAATTCCACAAAACCAAAGCAAACTTCTTGGCAATACGAGAAAGGGAGAATCTGTTGGGATCAGTACGAAAAGATATCGAGTAAGTTGTATTTTGTGTTACAGCAATGGCACAGGACTGTCCTTGGAGGGAGAAGGCAACAGCTCTTCTGTAGGAGAATAGTTGGCATGGCTTCTTCATCTGTGCTCTGAACAAAGCAAAAAAGTTATTTGTATGATGACTTTTACTAAGGTGACAAGATTCTGGTTTGGTTTGTTGTTTTTTTAGCTGAAAAGGAATTCATGTTTTTCAAGTAAAACTATCATGTTATGCGAAATCATGTTGTTAATATCCAGAACTTTTCAATTTGGTCAATTCAGAGTAACAAACATTATATGTAAATCAGTTAATCTTGTCTCATGAAAAGCCTCTAGGAAAAATGTTTTTCAACTCTTATTATTTTTTACATTTTTAGATCATATAAAAGTGGGTCTGGAGTGAATAACAGAAGAACAGAACTATTCCTGAAGGAACACGAGCACCTTCGAAAGTAAGTGTTACTTGTTTTTTACTTGTGTTGGAGGTGTCTAACTTCTCTGGGGGATGAAACAGTCTTCATTTCAAGTATGGGTGAAAGCTTTGTCTTTTTGTGGATACTGTCCACAATGAATGTCTAGCACTATGGATTGTGTGACAGTGCTGCTGCTTACGCAGCTGGATAAACATTCCTTGCTCATGCTGACTGTGGAATGCGTGTAGAAGGTAGCAGTCATGGTAGTTTTCAGTGATTTTGACTTTAGGATCTTATCAGCACTAAGTGACATTTATATATTGTCTTCAGTGGGCTTTCGCAAGTCACTTGTGGCTCAGACTTCATGCTTGGCCTTCTCTCTTCTTAAGAAAGTTAGATGTGTTTGCAGTGTACTGACTGGGGTAAGGGTTAGAAAACAAAGCAGAAAGTCCTAGTGACTTAGCTGTTTTTCCCATTCTTATCCTTTATTTCTCAGAGTCACACAGGGAAGAACCTTTTTTCCTTTTGTTTCTACTGAATGTGTACAAAAGGTGATGGAAGATGCTAATTCCAAAATCACCTATACACTTTATTTGCAAATTGACTGTAGTTTATTGGCCAAGATAACAATGAATAGAAAGCACTTTCTTTTTATTCATGTTGAGGGGGCATTAGATCATGAATAAGTGGGTGCTTTTTGTGTCCCCATTCAGCAAAAGCAGCAGACCCCAAAGGAAGAGCTCTGGAAGGTTCATGTTTTCTGGATAGTCAAGAAATAGCACTGATGATGGTTCTGTGTTCTTGCTGGAGTCGTGCTAAACTTCAGCTTTACACCAGAGGGCAGGCTTTCATTAAAAAAATAAATAAAAAATTACCTGTGGCTTTCTTAAGAGAACTTAACTATCCAGGACTACACAAAACACTTTTATGGGAAATTAAACCCAGATTTTTCGATTGTGGCTTACCACCACTTTATCCTCAATTTTCTTTAGTGTCTTTAAAACTTAGAAATTAATTAATTTAAAACTTGAATTAAGATTTATGTTAGGTTGAATTTAATATTAAATGTATATGATCAGGAGATGTAAAGATTCCAGGAAAAAAACCCCAGTCTTAACATTTTGGAGGTGAATGTTACCTGAAACGTTGTCCTTTGAAGAATCAATATCAGTTAATCTGGGTAAACCAGATTCTTTCTAGGTGTTGTGTTTGGGTTTATTTGGTTTTGCTTTAGTTTTCTTTTTTTTATTATTGGAGGGGTAGTAAATACTTTTATACATTTGGTATGATGTTAAAGAAAGGTACAAATAAAATATTGCTGGAGTTGTAAAATATGGAAAATTGATATTCTTCTGAGTGCACTATTTTAAAAGTTTGAAATGAGAGGAAAAACTTAAAACATCTTGCAGATCTCTTCAGAATTTGAGCCTAGCATTTGCTGAGGCATTGATTACCTTGATCTTGTTAAACATACAAAACTCTCAAATATGTTTTTAGGATAAAAACGCATGAAAAATAGAATTAAATAAGGCAGTTTCAGAAACAGTTAAACCATCTTCTAGGTGATTATTTAGAAATGTCAAGAGTTAAAAATTAAACAACTAAACCCCACAACACTGAGAAAAAGAAAACAAGAAATAAGTGTGATTTGTGAATCTTAGAAAAACAGAGCCAAAACTAATCATGGAATACTACTGCAATGTGGAGATAACTGTGTTTGAAGAAATCTGGTGTAGAAGCGGAAGACAACCTTGGCGAGAAATCAAAGCTTGCAAGATGTTCAAAACTTTAGAATTGAATATCAGTAAGCTCAGAAATAGATACTGGCAGAGGAAATTATTAAAGAGTTTCAACATACTCGTCTTCCGAGAATGCCGTTAATGAGCTATTAATGCCAAAACACTGTAAAAGCTAGCAAAAAGTCACGAGAAATCACCAGGAGCTGGCAGATGATACCAAACATGCTCCTACGATAAGCTGAGGAGCTTTGTGTGAGTCCTCACGCTGTATATTTGCAGTGCAGTAAATCCTGGTGCTAGACTAATTGATAGAGCTACATGATAAATATACATACGTTGTCACAAAGACACAACAGTATAAATTCAAATGTAATTTTAGTGAAGTTGTGCAACCTATGAAAAGAGCTTGAAGAATGGACATGGGAACATAAACTTTGCAAGAGCATTATTACATGCTGCAGAATAATGAAATAATGCCACAGAATTAATATATTTGTATCATACGTCAGAGCGTTCACTTGGTCTTGACCCTGCTTAATTTATGATATTAAGTACTTTAACCTATTACGTATTTATTCTATGATCTGGTAACATAGAATGTATGAGCTATTACCCTGCTGCAGAGAACCAGACTCATCTGTCAGCCTTTTTTCTTTATGTGTTACCATGTGAGGCAGGAAAAACGGAAACTTGAGTTTACTCTTGGCGGTGTTTTCCATGAATGCTCTTTAAAAAGTCCACTGGCAGCCCGGGGCCGTATTGTTCGTGGTGGTATCTCACTGGGGAGTAAGAGGAGGAGAGCCAGGAATCCCTTTTCTGAGAGGGGCTTTGGATAGACCTCTGTGTTTTGCCTAAATTTTCATTTTTCTGTCGTATTTTGAACATCATTTCTTCTAGAAGGATTAAGAGCGAAGGAAAGTCTGTCAGTGTTAATTTTATATTTGTAGGTAACCGTAAAAAAGGAGGAGAGATAAAAAAAAATAAAATCTGTGAGTACAAAAATTTTGATGAATAAAAGCATCCACCGTATGGATATTAAGCACCAGGGGAATGACAGGAGCTGAAGTGCTGTGCAAACACTTGCTACGCCTGTAATAGATAAACCTGCCATCCATTAAGCCATGAGGATCCTGGATCCCTTTGGATTTGCTTTCCTGGGGTGGGGCTGCTGCTGTGTCAGTGCTGCTGGCACACACGTGTGTGTGCACTCCCACGTCAGGATCATGGTGGTTCTGGGGCAGCCCTGGGGGTGGGGGTGTGCACCCCAGTTCTGGGAGGGTTAGAGAAAGCATATCCTATTCTATTTTTGTCTGGAAGCTTCACTGCTAGTTCAATTCATTTCATAAATCAGCTGATCCTGAGTTTTATGGGGAAAGGAGATTTGTCTAGAAACTTTGTGACTGTGCATAGGAGGCATAAAGTTTCCAACTCGCTCAGTTTCCTACTTTTACCTGCCTCTGGAAAGAAAAACAATGATGCCTAATTTTTTAAATAAAAATTTTAACACCTGTTCATTGAAATGTGTCTGGAAGACAGGTCTTGTTGAATATTGATGCCCTATCAATTTTACCTAATACCTCAGGTATTTTGGCGTGTCAGATGGTTAAGGAAATATCAAATCCAGCACGGTCACGTTTGCAGTTGATTTTTGAATGCTTGTTTTCTCGGGTCTGTGCCATTCAGCAAAGTGTTTGTCTCATCTTTTCTGTTTGTGTGCTTTTAGCCAGGGAGGTAAACAAGTCATCCTTTTTCTTTTAATGCTGTTTTCCATCTAAAGAAAACAATTTTGATGAATAGATCTAGCTTAGCATTTTAAAAACTGCTCTGAAAAGTGCTGCCTCAGAGGAAAGAGTCCTGTCAACTTAGTGTTTGCCCTGAGAAATTTTGCAGTTATTGATGAGTTACAGCTTAAGTCAGCGAAGAAGGAACTAATGTGTTTGATTAAATTTGCAATATTGCATGTGTATGCAAGTGAAAATTTCCCTTGTGTTGGTACTCGCATTGGATGCGGATGATATCATATGAGGCGATACTGATGAATTTGTGTAAAAATTGATGAAGGCTTCGAAGCTTTAGATAGAAATTGCAGATGTTATTACCTACGATGAATTCCTCATAAAACTAGATGAAAGCTAGACCACTTAGCAGGTGTCAGCATTTGCTGTAGTAAATTTGTTCTGTCATTGTAGGGCCAATATGTGAATATTCCTTTAGTATTCAACTCCAGTGCTCAAAAAATTAGATATTTGTCCTTTTGGAGAAGAAGTGGCTGGTGGTGAAGCAAGTGTCTGTGCTGGTATCAAGAGCTTTGTTTTTAATTGTTGTCAGACTGCGTGTTTCTGGTGAGTGTTGCTATACAGACTATCAGTCTATCCAGTAAAAAATTCTTCAGCTCGGAGTATCAGGTGTAAGCAATGCAGGTAAATGAGATGAACCTGCTCAAAGTGTTCAGGCTTGTTAGGAACAAAAAACACCCTTGTGTGTCTTAAAATAGGTAGCACTGGGAACAGAGAGGGTAAGGGTGCCAGAGCAGGTGGGTGAGAAACTTTGAAGGAGAAAAGGAGGAGAGCAAACAAATCAGAGGGATGTGTTCCACATGCGAAAGGGAAAAGAGAAGTTGAGCAAAAGAAATAACAGGAATCTGTAGCAGTTGTGTAATGGTGCTATTAATAATACATACCTGATTCGTGGAGATGATTAGGATAGATAAATTAATGTTGGTGCAATACTTCATATATATGAAGTAGTCTGGAGTATACTAAATATTTTTATTACTATTATTATTGCATTTCATTTTTCAGCAGAACCATTTCAAATTTCCTGTTGTTGTTTGGGCAGAAATTACCACATTCAGTAGAGAATAATCACCGGGAAACTGCTTTCAAATTTTGTTCGTGGCACAGTCCAGCTCTTAATAAAGGGAGTGACTTGTTGACCATTTTTCCTCTAAATCCTGATGTTGCTTACAGATTTTCACTTCAGTACTGATTTGCAGGGAGCAGTCAGCTTAATGAAATGCAGACACACCTTACAGGGGTTTTGTTTACAGGTGTGGTGATCTTTTGGAAAAAAGTTACCAGTTGTCAACCTTAATTTAATTTCCTTTTCTTTGTTATTCTTCTTCTCTGCTCTGCACAACCTGATTTCCATTCACGGTGCTGATGCTGCTCGGGTCCCTGTGGATTTCAGTGGACCTTCAGTAGTGGATTAAAACCAGGGAACTGCTGTTGTCTCCCCTTCCATCCCCTCCCTTACCTCCAATTGCAGGGGGACACACAGATGCCAGGGCAGTTACTGTTC